TGCTGCTCAAACTAGCCTCCGTTCTCTTCATATCTCCACACAGCTGTCCTAAAACAATGATTTTAGACCCTGTTCATGCAAAATGGTTAAAAAATATGTTTCACGTTTGTTATACAGAAACGGTGTCTCATGTCATATGCTGAACTAGTTGCATTGTGGATTTTGCCTAAAACATGATTTTAGACCTTGTTCATGTAAAAAAGCTTAAAACATTATTTTGAGCTTGAAAAATATTACATACTGTCCTTGAAAGATGCCAAAAGAACAGGATGGACCAAAAACTGGTCACTCTCAGACGGCCCTTTGTTTTTGGCCCGCGACTACGTTACTCAGAAACAAGGAAGGAAAAACACTGGCTTCTTCTTCCATGAGAGAAACAGACAGTGGAAATGTACAGGTTTAAGGCTCATACGGCGCATAGTACACATACCCCAAAAACACTACTTTAGTACTTAAGTATTTTTACTTACAGTGGCTTGCGAAAGTATTCACCCCCCTTGGCATTTTTCCTATTTTGTTGCCTTACAACCTGGATTTAAAATGGATTTTTGGGGGGTTTGTATCATTTGATTTAAATATGCCTACCACTTTAAAGATGCAAAATAAAAAAAATTGTGAGACAAACAAGAAATAAGACAATAAAACAGAAAACTTGAGCGTGCATAACTATTCACCCCCCCCAAAGTCAACACTTTGTAGAGCCACCTTTTGCAGCAATTACAGCTGCAAGTCTCTTGGGGTATGTCTCTATAAGCTTGGCACATCTAGCCACTGGGATTTTTGTCCATTCTTCATTGCAAAACTGCTCCAGCTCCTTCAAGTTGGATGGGTTCCGCTGGTGTACAGCAATCTTTAAGTCATACCACAGGTTCTCAATTGGATTGAGGTCTGGGCTTTGACTAGGCCATTCCAAGACATTTAAATGTTTCCCCTTAAACCACTCGAGTGTTGCTTTAGCAGTATGCTGAGGGTCATTGCCCTGCTGGAAGGTGAACCTCCATCCTAGTCTCAAATCTCTGGAAGACTGAAACAGGTTTCCCTCAATAATTTCCCTGTATTTAGTGCCATCCATCATTCCTTCAATTCTGACCAATTTCCTAGTCCCTGCTGATGAAAAACATCCCTACAGCATGATGCTGCCACCACCATGCTTCACTGTGGGGATGGTGTTCTCGGGGTGATGAGAGGTGTTGGGTTTGCGCCAGCCATAGCATTTTCCTTGATGGCCAAAAAGCTCAATTTTAGTCTCATCTGCCAGAGCACCTTCTTCCATATGTTTGGGGAGTCTCCCACATGCCTTTTGGCGAACACCAAACGTGTTTGCTTATTTTTTTCTTTAAGCAATGGCTTTTTTCTGGCCACTCTTCCATAAAGCCCAGCTCTGTGAAGTGTACGGCTTAAAGTGTTCCTATGGACAGATACTCCAATCTCCACTGTGGAGCTTTGCAGCTCCTTCAGGGTTAACTTTGGTCTCTGTTGCCTCTGATTAATGCCCTTCTTGCCTGGTCCGTGAGTTTTGGTGGGCGGCCCTCTCTTGGCAGGTTTGTTGTGGTGCCATATTATTTCCATGTTTGAATAATGGATTTAATGGTGCTCCGTGGGATGTTCAAAGTTGAGGATGTTTTTTTATAACCCAACCCTGATCTGTACTTCTCCACAACTTTGTCCCTGACTTGTTTGGAGAGCTCCTTGGTCTTCATGGTGCCGCTTGCTTGGTTGTGCCCCTTGCTTAGTGGTGTTGCAGACACTGGGGCCTTTCAGAACAGGTGTATATATACTGAGATCATGTGACACATAGATTGCACACAGGTGGACTTTATTTAACTAATTATGTGACTTCTGAAGGTAATTGGTTGCACCAGATCTTATTTAGGGGCTTCATAGCAAAGGGGTGAATACATATGCATGCACCACTTTTCCGTTATTTATTTTTTTGAATTTTTTGAACCAAGTTATTTTTTTAATTTCACTTCACCAATTTGGACTATTTTGTGTATGTCCATTACATGAAATCCAAATAAAAATCCATTTAAATTACAGGTGTAATGCAACAAAATAGGAAAAACGCAAGGGATAAATACTTTTGCAAGGCACTGTAAGTACTTTATACCACTGCAGAGCGGTAAAGGACGGTGCACACAAGACAGTCCTTAATCAAATCAGTAACTCTCAAGCAGAAAGTTGGTTATGAAGTGATATTAGTGCCACCAAAAATGGAATCTGAATTTACTACAACCCACTAGAATCCATAGTTAAGTGGAGTTAGGTCCTTGTGTGCTGTAGCTTAATGAAGACTACAGCCAGGGAATGACTCCTTAGTTTTATTTTTTGTGCTTTGCTCAGAGACATAGCTAACCGGGGTAAGGGGGGGGGGGATTAACAGCATTGACTCATCAGTGGTGTGGTCTTCTTGAGATGTCTGCAGACAACGAAGAAATTACCACATGCAAAGGTATCAGAGACCAGGGTTGTATTCATTAGTGCACACCGTAGCAAACCATAGCAAAACGTTTTGAAACAAAAAACTGCTTGGTTTCTAGTGAATACACCTCATGTATTACATTTACATTTAAGTCATTTAGCAGACGCTCTTATCCAGAGCGACTTACAAATTGGTGCATTCACCTTATAGCCAGTGGGATAACCACTTTACAATATGTTTTTTTTTTCTTTCTTTGGGGTGGGGTAAGGGGGGGTAGAAGGATTACTTTATCCTATAGGCCATAGAAACCCAAAATAATACTAATGTTCTAGTTAATTCTGTGGTGTAGCCTAGAGTATGTCTGTGACTGAGTATGTGTGAGTCTAAAAGGAAGAAGTAAATGTATGTACAAATCAAGTGCAACAAAATAAACTATTTAGGCCGTAGTTCACACCGTGTAGTGCATTGGTACTCAACTAATATTTGAGAAGGACCAGTGACACACATTTCCTCGGTGACAAAGGTCCGGAGTGACATCGTCCTTTATCGGCGCTGTGGTACAGCGTAGTAACAAACATAGTCGTCTACGACTTAGGAAACATGTTGTTATATAAAATGTACATTAAAAACATTAAATGAGACTAAGAACTTGAATTGATTACTTATTTAGAATGTAAACGTGCAACATTGCAGAAGAACACAGTGGTTGCAAAATTGTCTGCAAAAAGTGCACTCTGAACCATTGTACAATGGCCTTCAATTAACTTGTTCATTTTTATTATTCTTATAAAATAAAGTGCATGTTATCTGGAGAACAAAGGAGAGTTGAACAAAAATAATAATCTGAATGCACAGAACATCCCTGTGGGCCATGCAATACTCATGTATAAGTCACTCTGGGACTTGCCATTGCATCAATGACAGAGAGAAATGACACTTTGTCTCCTGCCAATGTGTTGAACTTTAGCACAAATGGTGTGAGAGGAACTGTGAGACACTGGTGCAGGATATGGACATCCTCTCCTCGTGTGTGTGCGCTTCTAGATTTGTTTTGCCCAACAGCTCCTCACAGAATTCCTTTGTTTCGTTACAAAATGGGCATTATCAGTGTTATCTGTTGATTCATCCACAGCTAATGAAATGCATGATGCATTCTGAATGGCCTCGTCAAGTTGTGAAGTTAAATCTTCAGCTAATATACTTCAATTCTCCTCATTGCTGTGGAATCTGACAGTGGGATCGGTTTGATCTTTTCCCTGACCTCATCTTTTTTGTTTACTTTCAAGGAAGGTGTCAGCGACTTCACCCTTTACCATCTCAGCGTCTGAAAATGTTTTGTGTTTTCCCAAAACCCAAGCTATCCTCAGTGAACACTCCATAACACGTTGTGGCTGGGATGCAAGACTTTGTGACCCTAATATTGGGATGATTGTTAATCTATTTGTCACTCATTCGGGATCGCGATTGATGTGATGGCATACAAGAGCACGTTTTAGCGATGGATTAGACGGGGAACTAGAAGGTGGTTGTCGAGGAGAGCAAGAAGTGAGGTTGCTCGTTGAGTTACATTAGTCTTTAGCAGAGCTATCCAGCGACTACAGTAGTGAAACAATTTTTTTTACTGCCCCCTGGGAATAACCCCAACCCTGGTTGCAAACGCCATCCTACACTGAGCTACATCTGCCGGCTTTCCTCCCCTAGGACACGTGGGCACATTGTGCGCCGCCCATGGCTCGGTCGGACGTGGGAACGAGCTTGATTCGACCGATCTCTGTGGATGTTAGACTGCGATGAGGTAGCACTGCGCCACTCAGACCCACCCTGCACCTGATTTTTAAAGCTGTCAAAACAATGATTGACATGTAATACAACATGCATTTGTCGTGGATTGACAAGCCCTTTGGGGACCTGCCAGGGCAGTTAGTTTGGTTGATGTTGGTACAGCCTCTTTGAGGGGGTAATGTGTTATTGGAATAAGAGACACGTTAAAAAAACAATTATTCGACAATATGGGGCTACAAGGGTTTTTAAGCATCCAAAGAGGAAAAATGAGTACATGTTATTAAGCTGACCAAACTTTACTGTCAATTAGCCTAACTGACCACTAGCTACAAAGTGGAACACACAATTATTTTAAAAAGGCGCGTGAAAACAGTTGTCATTACCTACCAAGGTATTGAACAAAGTTAAAACATTTGACACATGATACATGCTGACAAAACACAATAATCGCAATGCTCATAATTATAAAGTTCCCAATGCTTTAGCAGTGACCAAAACCAATATATTGCAGCTGCGACGTGTACTGAAATATAGCTACACTGCCGTCTAAGACGACAGATTAGATCACAAGAAAATACTGACAAAAAGGTTCACAGCAAAACGTTGATCTATTTCCAAGGTCATTGACATAACTCATATTGGTATGATCTACCACACCACAAACAGTTCATGCATTGGTCCACAAGTTCCAATCTAGTTTCGTGATCCAGAAACTGCAACGATTTCCGCGTTGTCACATGATTCAATGCTCATGTTGGTCACAAACGTCATTCCAAAAAGTTAAGTGTCACACTCTCCACAGACAATCTGTGACACAAGTATTCAATGCATCGTTCCAACTAGTTCTTTCCAACTAGTTTCTTTCACAACGCTTACATAGTTTCTGTTGTCACAAGTCAATGTTCTGTTGCACAACTATTTCACTGTTTCGTGAACAACGTCTTAAACAGTTTGCCCCTGGATTGTTCATGTTGTAATCGTCAATCAAAAAAGTTTTGCCCACTGCGATGTTGCCAACTTATTGATAACCCGGAAAGAGTTTTGAGCTATGGAGCTCATCATGCCTAACGCGAAATGTCCCCTGTCTGGAAGGCTCTCCATCATGTCCTTCAACTTCTGAATGTCCACCTCGTCCTCCCGGAAGGCTTCCGTGTACACCCTGTCTACTCGCTTGTGTTGATCCTCCAAGAATTTCTGGAAATGATCAAAATGTGAAATTCAGGCTCAGACAGTCATTGTCAAATCAAGTTGTAATTGTAAAAGGGAATATCATGGCAATGGACAAAATACATTCATAAATAAAGGCGAGATGTGCACGAGACCTGTTGCTTTGTGAACGACAGGTTAGAGGCAATATGTAGACTGACCTCCACAATGGACAGGTGGTTGGCAGCCGTGGTGAACACACTGGCAAGGTTATTAACCACAGTCCGCCGCTCCTCATTGGTTTCTTGCAGGACAAGATGGTACCTGTGGAGTACAATGACATAAATACTGTGGTGGGGGGAGGTCTATTTTTAGCTATGAACAAACTTCATGTGGTTCTGAAATAATTGTTAAGCCCGGAACATACCATACGCAAATATTGTAGCATTGTCCGACCCAGAACGGCTCATAGGGCAGGAGCATATCTCCTGTTTCTGTAGTGTGTGCCAGCTTGATGTAAAAGTACACCCCCTTGACAGGACGCTAGTCAACCCCCAATCCATCTTTTTAATGCGGAGTGTCTGCCTTTGATGATGTCACTGCGATCCTGCGTAAGTATGTAAACCCCCTTTTGTGGGTTTCACATGACACACACAACAGTGGCATTGCACCAATCAAGCTTTTGTTTTTAAATTGAGGAAGAAGTTGCTCTTAACTAATTGGCTACGTCCACTAAATGGCTACTCCCTACGTCCAGCTGAGCGGTTAAAATAGGTTCAACTTTCAATCCCGGAACCATACACACATCAAGCGAAGGGACTTAGCCCTGTACCTCTCACCATAGCGAAGCGGGTCGAGAGCTTCAAGTTCCTCTGGATCCAAATGACTAAGGACTTAAAATGGTCCACACACACAGTCGTGAAGAAGGCACGACAGCCTCTTCCCCCTCAGTAGGTTGAGAAGATAGCGTCGGCCCTCAAATCCTCAAAAAGTTATACAGCTGCACCATTGAGAGCATCTTGACTGGCTGCATCACCGCTTGGTACGGCAACAGCACCACCCTCGATCTCATGGCGCTACAGAAGATGGAGCAGACAGCCCAGTACATCACTGGGGCTGAGCTCCATGCCATCCAGGACCTCTATCCCAGGTGGTGTTAAAGACTCCAGCCATCCAAGCCATAGACTTCTCTGCTACCGCACTGCAAGCGGTACTGGAGCAACAGGTCTGACACCAATAGGCTCCTCAACAGCTTCCATAAGCCATAAGACTGCTAAAGAGATACCAAGAAGGCTACACAGACTATCTATCTATCTATCTATCTATCTACCTCACAGGACTCTACACACTCCCAACACACACACATCCTGATGCCTAGTCACCTTACCCCTATAAATACCACTCCAGTATCCCTGCACATTGGAAATATGGTATTGGCACTGACCCTGGATATACAGTAGATTACTTACTTTCTCCTGTTATTCATATTTCTATTTCTCTACTTTATTTTAGTATAATATTTTTTACTACTGATATTGATTACTGCAATGTTGGGAAAGAGCTTGCAAGAAAGGCATTTCACTGTACTTGTGCACGTGACAATAAAACGTACAACTCAGCCCTGTACCCCTCACCATTGTGATTGGGTCCAAAGGAATTGGTAGGAGGTGCACTACTCACTGTTGCTGTGCAGCTTTCAGCTGCTCCACAGCCTCGTCATAGCCCAGGGTCACCTTCTTCTCCAGCAGCTTGCGGTGGTTCTCCACAGACTCCATCTCAGCAGACCACTTCTGCTCCTCATGGGCAATGTCCTACACACACACACCATGGAGAGAGGGAAGTCTTTTTTTGTATTTGATTTAATTGACAAATTATTAAACCGCGGATGTGGATACAATGCAGTTAAAATAATTGAGGATAACAAGAAAAGTTGTTTCCATTGTGGTCCTCATAAGATAATGAGCTCTCTAGGAAAACCTTAGATGGACCAATGATGACACCAATGATTCATTTTGACAGCACTTTCTTACCAATAAATGACTAGCCTGTGTGTAACAATATTTCAGAGGGGCTTTCTGTATACAATAACCAAACATTTGTATTATTGAAAGTCTAACACTCACCTGCATGTCTTGTTCGAGCTGCTCGTCGAGCCTGCGGATTTGCTCTCTGAGTTGTTTCAAGTCATTTGCTTTTTCGGAAATATTGGAATTCACCTGAAAGAGAAAGAGTCCATGTTAAAAAGCACCCCAAAAATGGGACAAAACCTTCAGACTTATAAGAAACACACTGAAATGACTCGGCACCTGTTCTATCGACTCCTCCAGGCTTAGTTTCATGTCTGTCAGTCGACTACACTCCTCTTCCACATCAGTGATCAGTTTCCTCAGTGGTTGCTGTAGAGAACAAGCCACAGAATGAGTCCAAATACGACACACACCTGTGGTAATAAAGCGATTGTTCGATGAGAACTAAATCGGCATACTTGAATCTGAGTTCTGCATTGAACCATGGTGGACGGTCCATATTCTGTGGAGGTCCTGATCTCAAAGTCGTGGCCGCACGCGTTTTCAGCAGACACAGGGATGAGCTTCAGTTTGCGGGCAAGCTTGTGGTAATCGGCTAGCTTCACTTCGGCCTAAAACAGAGGGAGATTTTTTTCCCCTTTTCATTAGCAGTGGTTTAGACTGAGAAGACAGTTTCAGCACAGGCTGATCACCAGCTAGTCATTTTTAAAATACTTATCGAACCTTATTTATGTCACATTTATACATATGATTTAACCTTTATTTAGTCAACAGATGAGTATAGAATGCAGTCGTATCAGGCCAGCATCCTATTCTCTTACCGTCTCTTTGACCTTGGCCAGAGTGATCTCCTCGTTCCACATGTGCTGCTCGGCCTGCTCCAGGCTCTTGCTCAGGCTGTTGATGGTCTGCTGCAGTTCCCTCTTCTCCCAGTTGATCCTCTCAATGTCTGCGGGGGTGAACTTCTGGGTGGACAAGATGTGTTGGAGCCGGGACTCCTCCTGTTTTAGGGTCTCCACCTGCAGTCCTACACAGGACAAAAAAGGGCAGTGTGGGTTATGTTAACATTTCAGCATTTCCAGGAGAGCAGTAATTTTAAAAATGTATATTTTAAGGGATTTTCAGATTTCATTTGAACAGATAGTATGAGAGGATGACAGTGGGGACAGATAGAGAGATGTTGTGTCAAATGGTAGTAGACCACATATGCAGACACTGTAGAAAGAGAAATTAGTCCTGAAGGTCGCAGCATTACCGCTAGCCCAGCCAAGTCATGAGAGTAGCAATGATTGGTCTTGGAAATGTTGTTTTACCTGATGATTCCAGCTCCTCGGCCAATCCAGAGGCTTTGTTCTCCAGGTTGGCTTTGAAAGACTCCAGGTTACTTCGATAACTCTGCAGTTTCTGCAGGTCTGTCTGAAGTTTGACTTTCTCTGTTCTTTTGACCATCAATCGGTCCTGCTCGAAAGGGAATAAAATGGTTACAATATATAGTGAACCAAACGGCTACGTTCAAACGTAATTGGCACTCTCACGACTCATCAACTGCTTAAACTAGGTGAGATGTGTTCAATAATCAGCGCAGTACATGGACAAATCTGTGAATACAATGCATTCGGAAAGTATTCAGACCCCTTAACCTTTTCCATATTTTGTTACGTTACGTTATTTCTCATCAATCTACACACAATACTCCATAATGACAAATATATTTTATTTTATATTTGTTTTTATTTTAATGTTTGCACATTTATTAAATATAAAAAACAGAAATACCTTATTTACATAAGTATTCAGACCCTTTGCTATGACTCGAAATTGAGCTCAGTTGCATCCTGTTTCCATTGATCATCCTTGAGATGTTTCTACAACTTGATTGGAGTCCACCTGTGGTAAATTCCATTGATTGGACATGATTTGGAAAGGCACACACATGTCTATATAAGGTCCCACAGTTCACAGAGCATGTCAGGGCAAATACCAAGCAATGTGGTCGAAGGTATTGTCCGTAGAGCTCCGAGACAGGATTGCGTCGTGGCACAGATCTGGGGAAGGGTACCAAAACATTTCTGCAGCATTGAAGGGCCCCAAGAACACAGTGGCCTCCATCATTCTTAAATGGAAGAAGTTTGGAACCACCAAGACTCTTCCTAGAGCTGGCCGCCCGGCCAAACTGAGCAATCGGGGGAGAAGGGCCTCGGCCAGGGAGGTGACCAAGAACCCGATAGTCGGCCAAACTGAGCAATCGGGGGAGAAGGGCCTCGGCCAGGGAGGTGACCAAGAACCCGATAGTCACTCTGACAGAGCTCCAAAGTTCCTCTGAGGAGATGGGAGAACCTACCAGAAGGACACCACCTCTGCAGCACTCCACCAATCAGGCCTTTATGGCAAAGTGGCCAGACGGAAGCCACTCCTCAGTAAAAGGCACATGACAGCCCGCTTGGAGTTTGCCAAAAGGCACCTAAAGGACTCTCAGACCATGAAAAACAAGATTCTCTGGTCTGATGAAAACAAGATTCAACTCTTTGGCCTGAATGCCAAGCGTCACATCTGGAGGAAACCTGGCAACATCCCTACGGTGAAGCATGGTGGTGGCAGCATGATGCTGTGGGGATGTTTTTCAGCGGCAGGGACTGGGAGACTAGTCAGGATCGAGGGAAAGATGAACGGAGAAAAGTACAGAGAGATCCTTGATGAAAATCTGCTCCAGAACGCTCAGGACCTCAGAATGGGGTGAAGGTTCACCTTCCAAAAGGACAACAACTCTAAGCACACAGCCAAGTCAACGCAGGAGTGGCTTCGGAACAAGTCTCTGAATGTCCTTGAGTGGCCCAGCCAGAGCCCGGACATGAACCCGATTTAACATCTCTGGAGAGACCTGAAAATAGCTGTGCAGTGACACTCCCCATCCAACCTAACAGAGCTTGAGAAGATAAATAAATAAATAAATAAATATGCCATTTAGCAGACGCTTTTATCCAAAGCGACTTACAGTCATGCGTGCATACATTTTTTATTTTTTTTTGTGTATGGGTGGTCCCGGGGATCGAACCCACTACCTTGGCGTTACAAGCGCCGTGCTCTACCAGCTGAGCTACAGAGGACCACCTATACACAAAAAAGATCTGCAGAGAAGAATGGGAGAATCTTCCCAAATACAGTGGCTTGCAAAATTATTCATTTCCCTTGGCGTTGTTCCTATTTTGCTGCATTACAACCTGTAATTTAAATGGATTTTTTTGGGGATTCCATGTAATGGACATACACAAAATAGTCCAAATTGGTGAAGTGAAATGAAAAAAATAACTTGTTTCAAAAAAATTATAAGAAATAATTAACAGAAAAGTGGTGTGTGCATATGTATTCACCCCCTTTGCTATGAAGACACTAAATAAGATCTGGTGCAACCAATTACCTTCAGAAGTCACATAATTATTAAAATAAAGTCCACCTATGTGCAATCTAAGTGTCATATGATCTGTCACATGATCTCAGTATATATAAACCTGTTCTGAAAGGCCCCAGAGTCTGCAACACCACTAAGCAAGTGGCACCATGAAGACCAAGGAGCTCTCCAAACAGGTCAGGGACAAAGTTGTGGAGAAGTACAGATCAGGGTTGGGTTACAAAACAATATCCTCAACTTTGAACATCCCACGGAGCACCACTAAATCCATTATTCAAACATGGAAAGAATATGGCACCACAACAAACCTGCCAAGAGAGGGTCGCCCACCAAACCTCACGGACCAGGCAAGGAGGGCATTAATCAGAGGCAACAAAGTGACCAAAGATAACCCTGAAGGAGCTGCAAAGCTCCACAGCGGAGATTGGAGTATCTGTCCATAGGACCACTTTGAGCGGTACACTCCACAGAGCTGGGCTTCACGGAAGAGTGGCCAGAAAAAAGCCATTGCTTAAAGAAGAAAACAAGCAAACACGTTTGGTGTTCGCCAAAAGGCATGTGGGAGACTCCCCAAACATATGGAAGAAGCTACTCTGGTCAGATGAGACTAAAATTTAGCTTTTTTGCCATCAAGGAAAACGCTATGTCTGGCACAAACCCAACACCTCTCATCACCCCGAGAACATCATCGGCAGGGACTGGGAAACTGGTTAGAATTGAAGGAATGATGGATGGTGCTAAATACAGGGATATTCTTGAGGGAAACCTGTTTCAGTCTTCCAGAGAGCAGTTTTGCCTTGAAGAATGGGCAAAAATCCCAGTGGCTAGATGTGCCAAGCTTATAGAGACATACCCCAAGAGACTTGCAGCTGTAATTGCTGCAAAAGGTGGCTCTAAAAGTATTGACTTTGGGGGGAGGGGGGGGGGGGGTGAATAGTAATACACGCCACTGTACAGATGTGCCAAGCTTGTAGCGTCATACCCAAGTAGACTCAAGGCTGTAATCGCTGCCAAAGGTGCTTCAACAAAGTACTGAGTAAAGGGTCTGAATACTTATGTAAATGTGATATTTCAGTTTATTTGTAATACATTTGCAAAAATATATAAAAACCTGTTTGCTTTGCCATTATGGGGTATAATGTGTAGATTGATGAGGAAAAAAACCATTTAATCTATTTTAGAAGAAGGCTGTAAATGGTGGAAAAAGTCAAGTGGTCTGAATACTTTCCGAATTCACTGTATATATAGTCCTTAGATTCAAAGGACTAACCGTTTGGCTTTCTTTCTCCAGTCGCTCAACCTCATCCCTCAGTATCCTGTACTTCTCCTCCATGGACGCGAGAAGCGCTTCGTCAACGTTGTAAAGTCTCTCTGTAGAAATAAGTTGCCGTTCATGCGCTTGTTGCTGGTTATATGATTATTTGTATATGTTCATTTGGAAGGAAAAGGCACAACTCAAAATTAAAAACAATGAGAAATAATGACTTTGTCGTCACTGCTTACTTAGTTTAGCAAGATACTCTGCATCCTCTTCTTCAAACGTATCCGCTCCTTGCATGAACTTATTGTAGGTTTCAGCAGTGTAGTCCAGAAAGAGCTAGAAACGGAGGGGAAAGTACAGGGTCAAATAGAGGCCTAACATCCTAAATGGTTTTGTTGTGAGTAAATTGGCTCTGTACCTTGTTGAACTCAACCCCCTCCTCAATCTCGGTGCTTCCGTCAGAGAAATCAGCAAAGAGCAGGTCCTGTTCACTCATACAGCAAAAGATCTGTAAAACAATAACCAGAACAAATTCAAGGAAACATTCAGTATTATACAGAGCCATGGTTGCATGGAACTCCCTTCCATCTCATACAGCGCAAGTGAACAACAAACCTGGTTTCAAAAAACAAATAAAATCACAGCAAAACGCCTCTCCCCCATGTGACCTACCTTTGTGTGTATGTACTGACATGTATGTGTAACCGATAGATGCACACACATGTTAATGTTTTTTAATGTATGTAAATTGTAAAGTATTTTGTTAATGTCGAAGCCCAGTAAGACTAGCGGTCGCCATGGCTGTCGACTAATGGAAATCATTATTCAAACCTTCATGTAGACAGGTAAGGTTATTAATGAGTTTAGAGATTAGGTAGTATTCTGCTGTACTAATACCCACCTTCACAGTATCGATGAGCCAGACAACAGCCCCCAAGACCTGTGGCCAGGTATGTGGTGCCCCAACAGAGTACATGGAACTTTTGGAGAGCGCAAATGGATACCTGCAATCAGAAATATACAGTCAGTATACTAGAACGAGGAACGGGCCAGCGTGCAAAAACAAGATGCAAACAGCAAATGATCATATCTGTGTCCCAAATAGCACCCTCTTCTCTATATAGTGCACTACTTTGGGCCAGGGCCCATAGGGATGCCATTTGGGACACAGACCATTTTTAACATGTATGGCAGAATGAGCTCATTTACCCCAAGTCTTTGAGAATCCTGGGGACCTCCTCCTCCACTTTGGAGGTGGGCATCTGGAAGGTGGGGTCCAGGAGGCAGTAGATGAACTCAAAGATCTTTAGGAACTCCTTGGTGGAGGGCGACTGGAGAGACTTGACCGACATTGAACCTGGAAAGCCCTTCTCTGACAGAAACTGGAGGAGAACAAGGGAAATGGCCGTACAAAGTGTCTCAGTGAAGGAGTTCTGATCTAGGATCAGACCCCCCCCCCCCCCCGTTCATATAATCTAATTCATGAGGATGTAAAAGTGACAAAACTGATCCTAAATCAGCACTCCTAATCCGAGATGCTTTATAAATATTGGGCCCGGTCTTGAAAGACTTAAAAGTTCAGTGAGATTCTGTTTTAAAAACCTGTGTCTATTAGGAGTCCATCTATACCTCACACAACTGTCTGATGCACTGCTGAACATAGGCCTTATCGTGTAAGGGCCGGGGATCCTTCATCTTCTCTGCACCTCCAAAGGCTCCAAAGGTGCTGTTGCGAGCCATGCCAGCCCCACTGGTCCTGAAAGGAGTTCATCAGCATTTATGGTACGACTTAAGCCTTGTTCACATTGGGAGTTTGAAGTGATTCAAATACAATTTTTTTGACATATCTGATTAGAATCTGTTATTTTTCCTGCAGTCTGAACAGCCAAAAAGCACATGGATTTAGACATTTCAAGCCACAAATCTGATTCCTGACCATGCCCTCAAGTGGTTTTTAGACTGTTATTTTGTAATTTGCTACCTAGTCTGTTGACAGTTTTGACAAGAACATGTGGTAGCTAACTAGCTTAATTCTTTACAAACAAATTAGTGAATGTGCTAGAAAGCTAAACAGCTACCTAACTAGCTGGTTGAACGCCATGGCTAGCCAAAAAGGACTTGTTTTGAAAGTTGGATCACCTTGTCCTTTGAGGCTTTAAAAAAGTGTTCTTACACTATGATTTTGAACATTCAAAGCAACTAGGAAACAACCATGGCAGGCATTCTTGTCACCTTAGCCTGCTATATAACTTCTTAGTGATAGGAAGCATGAGCGCCACCACCAATCAGCCGACACCACTGCACACAACCACTGTTACTATGACAACTAGCATAGCCATGTCAGCAAATGGTGGCTGTCTGAACCCACACAAAACCGATTTGGTCACTTTTAACTTGCTGTTTGGACAGTCAAAACAGATTTGAAAAACAAAACTGATTAGAGCATTAAGGCCTGCCGTGTGAACATGTCCGGTGCGCTTGTCCGGAGCTACAATAAAAATGTGCACTGTTGGGGGTACTCGAGGACTGGAGTTGGGAACCGCATTTAGCCTTTGCTGTGTGTAAAATGACTGGCAGTGTGAAATGGCTCCCAATCATATAGTTTCACTAACAGGAATAGTCTTTGTCTGGCATGGTGACAGTGATAGAGAACTAGGTGTTTAACAGTCTTTTCTTCAGTGCAGGGACCTTACCGACTACCAAAGAAGCTGGTTCTTCTCTCGGATGAGACAGATTGGGGTTTAGGAATGTTCAACTTTCCGAAGGATGGTTGTTTGCTGGGAACAAATATTGATATGCTCATTGTAATAGCAAATACATATCCGAAATGTATGACAGGCTGTTAAAGCAACTTCCATTTATGTTCGTTTGCCAACTTACCTCTGCGGTGTTGCATAAACCATGCTCATTCTGTTGCTTTCAACTCTTTGCGGGAGCTCAGAGAGCCTACTGCTGGATGCTCGGCTCATCCTGGATCTGGTGAAAGAGAATGAATAAAAGACATAGCCAGCTAAATACATGTAGGCTATACATGGATAGCCAGGCCAGTTAATGTTCAAATAGTCTAGCAAATGTTCCCCAACTTGTATACCAGCCAGCTAACTGCAAATGTCTTCACATGAACAATGAAAGATGGGGATACTAACAGGAAGTGGGGCGGACCACCACTAACTAGGGTGACCACATGTCCCTCATTTTGGCCCTTTGTCCCCCAACCAAACAATCATGTCCTATTCATTATCCTGAAAGAAAAAGATCTCACTACAATTAATGTTAATAGAAAGTTAGCAAAAATAGATAAGATAGTCATAGTCAATCGATTAATAATATAATAATACTCTTATTAAAAATGTTCCTTTAATTTACAATCTGTAGACACTATGAGAATAGAAAGGTTCAGAACCTTTGTGAAACATCGCAGTACAGTTGAAAAATATATGGCAAATAGAAATTGGATCGTGTGGTTCAGAGATAAATGGGAAGGGGTGAGTGGAGCTGAAGGGTGGGACTAAAAATTACAAAGGTAACTCATGTAAAATATACTGTGTCCGTAAAATGTATTAGGGCTGACCCCATTTAGTCGACTGGTCGATTGATTGGTCGACTGAGATTATTTTTGTCCAGCAGTGGCAAATATAGATTTTTAAAAAATGTTATGGAACCTGTCTGATTCACGCCTGTCTGAGTGGACCAATCCATTGTGGAGACCGCGGGGGTGGCACACATGTATCACCAGTAGTATATTTACTCTTAATTACCATCATTTATCATCTACAATGTTGGTTTGGTTATGGTAATTTCTGTTAATGATTTCAATATATTATTATTACAGTCTTACCGTTGTCATTGTAGGAGTGGACAAGTCTGTTTTTACATCCACTGAGAATGACAAACGTTTTTATTTGTTGGCTTTATGTAGGCTATTTTTACATATTGGCAATGGCAATAGAAGTTACTTATAGATTTGTATCATTTTAATTTTGATTAATCATATGACATTGATTCAGATCAGGCATGGGCAACTGGCGACCCCCCTTTGTAGGACCAGTTTATAAAAAATATATCATAATATTTGGGGGAGGGGGGCTCAGTCGGGTTCTCAACTTACTGTTGAGAGTTAGAATAGAATACACAAGGTGCAGTTTCTAAATGTGGTTGTGCATCAGCAGTCACTCAATTAGCCCATGTCAGCAAAACATTTTTAGATTGGTAGGTTAGTCTAGCGGCCAGCTATCTAAACTTGTAGTAAGCATGGTCCAATTACCGACCCGGGTGGGGCCCACTGATCATCAGTTATCATATTAAAAACGGCAAACAAGTGCCTCTAACCTATGGCAAAATTGTGCTTTTAGCTCGCAAGGAGGGTACACAGACCCACGAGCCACTAATGCCGCTCATGATGAGTTCTGTTTTTTTGTGGCCACCTTTACACAGAGACGCATACAAAGCTCTACCTCGCCCTCCATTTGGCAAATCTGACCATAATTCTATCTTCCTGATTCCTGCTTACAAGCAAAAACTAAAGCAGGAAGCACCAGTGACTTGGTCAATCAAAAAGTGGTCAGATGAAGCAGATGTTAAGCTACAGGACTGTTTTGCTAGCACAGACTGGAACATGTTCCTGGATTCTTCCGATGGCATTGAGGAGTACACCACATCAGTCACTGGCTTCATCAATAAGTGCATTGATGACGTCGTCCCCACATTGACCGTACATACCCCAACCAGAAGCCATGGATTACAGGCAACATCCGCACTGAGCTAAAGGGTAGAGCTGCTGCTTTCAAGGAGAGGGACTCTCTATGTCCCCTATCCTCCCGGCCGGCTTGGTCCTCCCCTCCTGCTCCGTGGCTTGACGATTATTGCAAACTCACAGAAGAGGGCTCCGGGCAGCCGAGCGGAAATGGAGGAAAACTAGACTCCCTGCGGACCTGGCATCTTTTCACTCCCTCCTCTCTACATTTTCTTCCTCTGTTTCCGCTGCTAAAGCCACTTTCTACCACTCTAAATTTCAAGCCTCTGCCTCTAACCCTAAGAAGCTCTTTGCCACCTTCTCCTCCCTGCTGAATCCTCCTCCTCCTCCCCCTCCCTCTCTGTGGATGACTTCGTCAACCATTTTGAAAAGAAGGTTGACGACATCCGATCCTCATTTATTAAGTCAAATGACACCGCTGGTCCTGCTCACACTGCCCTACCCTATGCTTTGACTTCTTTCTCCCCTCTCTCTCCAGATGAAATCTTGCGACTTGTGACGGCCGGCCGCCCAACAACCTGCCCGCTTGACCCTATCCCCTCCTCTATTCTCCAGACCATTTCCGGAGACCTTCTCCCTTACCTCACCTCGCTCATCAACTCATCCTTGACCGCTGGCCATGTCCCTTCCGTCTTCAAGAGAGCGAGAGTTGCACCCCTCCTCAAACCTACACTCGATCCCTCCGATGTCAACAACTACAGACCAGTATCCCTTCTTTCTTTTCTCTCCAAAACTCTTGAGCCTGCCGTCTCTAGCCAACTCTCCTGCTATCTCTCTCAGAATGACCTTCTTGATCCAAACCAGTCAGGTTTCAAGACTGGTCATTCAACTGAGACTGCTCTTCTCTGTGTCACGGAGGCTCTCTGCACTGCTAAAGCTAACTCTCTCTCCTCTGCTCTTATCCTTCTAGACCTATCCGCTGCCTTTGATACTGTGAACCATCAGATCCTCCTCTCCACCCTCTCCGAGTTCGGCTTCTCCGGTGCTGCTCACTCTTGGATTGCGTCCTACCTGACAGGTCGCTCCTACCAGGTGGCGTGGCGAGAATCTGTCTCCGCACCATGTGCTCTCACCACTGGTGTCACCCAGGGCTCAGTTCTAGGCCCTTTCCTATTCTCTCTGTACACCAAGTCACTTGGCTCTGTCATATCCTCACATGGTCTCTCCTATCATTGCTACGCAGATGACACACAATTAATTTTCTCCTTCCCCCTTCTGATAACCAGGTGGCGAATCGCATCTCTGCATGTCTGGCAGACATATCAGTGTGGATGTCGGATCACCACCTCAAGCTGAACCTCGGCAAGACGGAGCTGCTCTTCCTCCCTGGGAAGGACTGCCCGCTCTATGATCTCGCCATCACGGTTGACAACTCCATTGTGTCCTCCTCCCAGAGTGCAAAGAGCCTTGGCGTTCTCTGCTAACATCAAAGCGGTGACCCGATCCTGCAGGTTCATGCTCTACAACATTCACAGAGTACGACCCTACCTTACACAGAAAGCGGCACAGGTCCTAATCCAGGCACTTGTCATCTCCTGTCTGGATTACTGCAACTCGCTGTTGGCTGGGCTCCCTGCCTGTGCCATTAAACCCCTACAACTCATCCACAACGCCACAGCCCGTCTGGTGTTCGACCTTCCCAAGTTCTCTCATGTCACCCCGCTCCTCCGCACAATCCACTGGCTTCCAGTTGAGGCTCGCATCTACTACAAGACCATGGTGCTTGCCTACGGAGCTGTGAGGGGAACGGCACCTCCTTACCTTCAGGCTCTGATCAGACACTACACCCAAACGAGGGCACTACGTTCATCCACCTCTGGCCTGCTAGCTCCCCTACCTCTACAGAAGCACAGTTCCCGCTCAGCCCAGTCAAAGCTATTTGCTGCTCTGGCACCCCAATGGTGTAACAAGCTCCCCCACGACGCCAGGACAGCGGAGTCACTGACCACCTTCCGGAGACACTTGAAACCCTACCTCTTTAAGGAATACCTGGAATAGTATAAAGTAATCCTTATACCCCCCCCCTCCCCCACCCCCCATAAAAAAAAAAAAAAAAAAAAAAGTGGTTGTCCCACTTGCTATCATAAGTTGAATGCACCAATTTGTAAGTCGCTCTGGATAAGAGCGTCTGCTAAATTATGTAAATGTAAAATGTAAATGACTCTAACCCGGACGCATATAAGAAATCCCGCTATGCCCTCCGACGAACCATCAAACAGGCAAAGCGTCAAAACAGGACTAAGATTGAATCGTACTACACCGGCTCTGACACTCGTCGGATGTGGCAGGGCCAGCAAACTATTATAGACTGCAAAGGGAAGCACAGCCGTGAGCTGCCCAGTGACACGAGCCTACCAGACAAGCTAAATTACTTCTATGCTCGCTTCGAGACAAGCAACACTGAAACATGCATGAGAGCATCAGCTCTTCCGGACGACTGTGTGATCACGCTCTCCGTAGCCGATGTGAGTAAGACATTTAAACAGGTCAACATTCACAAGCCCGCAGGGCCAGACAGATTACCAGGACGTGTACTCCGAGCATGCACTGACCAACTGGCAAGTGTCTTCACTGACATTTTCAACCTGTCCCTGACTGAGTCTGTAATACCAACATGTTTCAAGCAGACCACCATAGTCCCTCTGCGCAAGAACACTAAGGTAACCTCCCTAAATCACTACAGACCCGTAGCACTCACATCTGTAGCCATGAGGTGCTTAGAAAGGCTGGTCATGGCTCACATCAACACCATTATCCCAGAAACCCTAGACCCACTCCAATTTGCATACCGCCCCAACAGATCCACAGATGATGCAATCTCTATTGCACTCCACACTGCCCTTCCCCACCTGGACAAAAGGAACACCTACGTGAGAATGCTATGCATTGACTACAGCTCAGCGTTCAACACCATAGTGCCCTCAAAGCTCATCACTAAGCTGTCCCTGGGACTAAACACCTCCCTCTGCAACTGGATCCTGGACATCCTGACGTGCTGCCCCCAGGTGGTAAGGGTAGGTAACAACACATCTGCCACGCTGATCCTCAACATGGGGGCCCTCAGGGGTGCATGCTCAGTCCCCTCCTGTACTCCCTGTTCACCCATGACTGCATGGCCAGGCACGACTCCAACACCATCATTAAGTTTGCCGACAACACAACATTGGTAGGCCTGATCACAGACAACGATGAGACAGCCTATAGGGAGGAGGTCAGAGACCTGGCCGTGTGGTGCCAGGACAACAACCTCTCCCTCAATGTGCTCAAGACAAAGGAGATGATTGTGGACTACAGGAAAAAGAAGAGGACCGAGCATGCCCCCATTCTCATCGACGGGGCTGTAGTGGAGCAGGTTGAGAGCTTCAAGTTCCTTGGTGTCACCAACAAACTATCATGGTCCAAACACACCAAGACAGTCGTTAAGAGGACAGGACAAAGCCTATTCCCCCTCAGGAGACTGAAAAGTTTTGGCATGGATCCTCAAAAAGTTCTACAGCTGCACCATCGAGAGCATCCTGAATGGCTGCATCACTGCCTGGTATGGCAACTGCTAGGCCTCTGACCACAAGGCACTAAAGAGGGTAGCGCGTACGGCCCAGTACATCACTGGGGCCAAGCTTCCTGCCATCCAGGACCTCTTTACAAGGCAGTGTCAGAGGAAGGCCCTAAAAATGGTCAAAGACTCCAGCCACCCTAGTCATAGACTGTTCTCTCTGCTACCACACGGCAGGCGGTACCGGAGCACCAAGTCTAAGACCAAAAGGCTTCTTAACAGCTTCTACCCCCCCCAAGCCATAAGACTCCTGAACAGCTAATCAAACGGCTACCCGGACTATTTGCATTGCCCCCCCGTATAGCCTCGCTACTGTTATTTTACTGCTGCTCTTTCATTATTTTTTTTACTTATCTATTTTTTATTTAACACTTATTTTTCTTGGTTAGGGGCATGTAAGTAAGCATTTCACTGTAAGGTCTAAACTTGTTGTATTCGTTGCATGTGACGAAAAACATTTGATTCGATTTTTTAGTATAGCGTTACTGTTACACCAAAAACACCACCTCTTTTCTTATGAGATTTTAAGTCGCTAGCCGAAGAGTAAAAAAATAAATATAATGCAGCCAAAACTCAACAGTGTGCGCCACTGGCCAGAATGTGCTTTGATTCAAACTAAATACAGGAAGGCGATATATAGTGAAAAAATATATAAACGCAACATGTAGTGTTGGTCCCATTTTTCATGAGCTGATATAAAATATGTCTAAAATTGTGCACAAATTTGTTTACATCCCTGCTTGTGAGCATTTCTCCTTTGCCAAGATAATCCATCCACCTGACAGGTATGGCATCTCAATAAGATGATTAAACAGCATGACCTTGTGTTGGGGACAATAAAAGGCCACTCTAAAATGTGCAGTTTTGTCACACAACACAATGGCACAGATGTCTCAAGTTTTGAGGGAGTGTGCAATTGGCATGATGTATGCAGGAATGTCCACCAGAGCTGTTGCCAGAGAATTTATTGCTAATTTCTCTATCTACCATAAGCCGCCTCCAAGGCTGTTTTAGAGAACTTGGCAGTACATCCAACCGGCCTCATGCCAGTCCAGGACCTCCACATCCGGCTTCTTCACATCCAGGATAATCTCAGGAGTATTTTTGTCTGTGTGGAACAACTCATTGTGATTGGCTGGGCCTGGCTCCTCAGTGGTTGGACCTGGCGCCCAAGTTGGTGGGCCTTCCCAGTCAAGTGAAATCCATAGATTAGGGCCTAATGAATTTATTTCAATTAACTGATTTCCTTCTATGAACTGTAACTCAGTTAAACCTTTGAAATGGTTGCATGTTGCGTTTATATTTTTGTTCAGTATAGTTTCAAGAAGATCCAAATTCCCATGTAACGTGAATAATTATCATTCACGATTGACAGTGATACTATTTTTAAATTAGGTATGCCTAACAATATACGTGTTTGAGACATGGTGTATTACATTGTGATTAATTTAATATTGGGGTTAAAGCTTACAATAAAGGCATTTCACTGTACTTGCGTATGTGACATTAACACTACACTGTCCCGCAAAATCATCCTGTCGTCTCGCATTTGGGTATTTTAAAATGTGATTCTCAAAAACGCAAAGTAACATCAGTCATCAGTGGGGCAAATGTACACCATCATGACACTTTCACATGCAAATAACGTTACTTGCTACTTCATTTATTTCCTGTGATAACGTTTGCTAGCTATATTGTTTAACTAAGGACATTCCACTTTGGCAACATACAATTAATAACTAGACTTGTAAAGCATAAACTAAAGCTAATTTAGCCAACTAGCTAACGTTAGCTAGCTAGTCTCTTAGAATTCGCCTGAGGATTTACAATTAATTATTGCTAACTATACATTAGATGCAACGACCTATTGAGACGTCTTTCAAATAAATACGTACCTTTCCATGTTCTATAAATATAAAATAATCCGTTTAGAAACGTCTGTTGCTACGTAACGTTCGCTAAATAAAGTCAAAAAATCCGCCAAAAACGTTCAACACAACGGACGTTGGTGACGACATTGGTTTCTACGGAAAGCGCAATGGGTCAGATGGGGAGTGCGTTCAAGTTTAAAAGCGTTTTGCTACGTTTTCAAGGCTTCCAAGCAGCACACAAGAACGACCAGAAGTTTCGTTTTCAAGCAATTCAATAAGTATTTAACACTTTAACAAGACAAGTGACAAAGAGAAGTAGAAAATTTATTGCAGTATTTGTTCCACCAGAGGGACTAGGATCCCATTGTTCTCTTACAACTAGGGTGACCTTAAACAACAAAATCTACCTTTACAAAATATCATCCTGCAAGTAGCCCACAGATACTGCATGCTTGGTTTGAAATATAATAAATTATACCCAGAAGACTTCCATTGTACAGCATGGACAATTAAAAGTTACCAAAAATCATATCTCAGAATATCTAAGCTAAAGAAAGCCACCGGGTACTAGTTTAAATTCAAAAAACACTTTAATAAGACCATCAAAAGGACTAATTTCCAACATTCACATAAGGTTTTACTCTATTTTTTTTTCTTTACAGATGTTTTTTTTTCTGAGATATAAACATTTGTAGTTTTCTGTGTTAAACCTATAATACAGTGGGAGTAGAAATGAAACAACTAGATTCTGCTGCACAACAGCGAAGGAGCCTCCAACAATGTTTTAGTAACATTTCCCTCTGGTTTGGCGGTGGGTGGATGTGATAGTAGAAATGCAGGGTTCATTAACTGGAAGTCCCCTCCTTGGCAGCGTACAGTGACCGTAAAGTCTGCGCCACTTTGTTACTCAGTTTGTGGTTACTGGTCAAGGCGATTTTTTTGTAAATGATGTCAGACTCCTTAATAGTGTCCACCCAAGGCACCGTTTTGCGTCCGTCCCGTTTCTTGGCATCGGCCCAGGGGCCAGAGTAGGAGCCGGACATCCAGTGCACGCTGTAGCTTGTGCTGATCTTCTGGATGACCCGGGCGAGCTGCGGACGGTCCTTGTGCTTGGGGCAATGGATGGCGATGACGTCCATAGAGTCCACGCTCTCGTTCAGGTTCCCGGGGTCCCCTGTACGTTTCGCCCGCCGAGAGGACTGAGGAGAGAAGAGATTTCATTGTCATTTTTTGTCAACAATCTATACAAAATACTCTGTTAAAGTGGAAGGAAAATTCTAACATTTGTAAAACATTCATGAAAATAAAAAACACTAATATATCTTGATTAGATAAGTATTCAACCCCGAGTCAATACATGTTAGAATCACCTTTGGCAGCGATTACAGCTTTGAGTCTTTTTGGGTAAGTCTCTAAGAGCTTTCCACACGAGCTTTCCACACCTGGACTGTGCAATATTTGCCCATTATTCTTTTCAAAATGCTTCAATCTCTGTCAAATTGGTTGTTGATCATTGCTAGAAAACCATTTTCAGGTCTTGCCATACATTTTTAAGTAGATTTAAGTCGAAATTATATCTCGGCCACTCAGGAACATTCACTGTCCTCTTGGTCAGCAACTCCTGTGAAGATTTGGCCTTGTGTTTTAGGTTATTGTCCTGCTGAAAGGTGAATTAATCTCCCAGTGTCTGGTGGAAAGTAGACTGAACCAGGTTTTCCTCTAGGATTGTGCCTGTGCTTAGCTCCATTCAGTTTCTTATTTATCCTGAAAAACTCCCCTGTCCTTAACAATTACAAGCATACCCATAACATGATGCAGCCATCAAAGGGATATTCAATGCCTGTTTTATAAATGTGTATTATTTAGGCTTGCCATAACAAAGCGGTTGAATACTTAGACTCAAAACATTTCAGCGTTTCAATTTTAATTAAATTTGTAAACATTTCTAAATACATATTTCACTTTGACATTATGGGGCTATTGTGTGTAGGCCAGTGATCCATTTTAAATTCAGGCTGTAACAACAAAATGTGGAATAAATCAAGGGGTGTGAATACTTTCTGAAGGCACTATTGTATTTAGCGGTAAAGGCTGGTAAAGGAAAAGCTTGGCTGTGGGTCTCACCCCAGGGATTCTCTCATCTCCGTCACTCTCGTCATCCTCATCGTACTCTACTGGTGCAAGATGCCCGTGGCCGGCCCCTCCCAGCAGTGCGTTTATGGCTTTGTTTCGGATGTTGGCGCTGGCCTGTGCCGCCTCCCCTTCCTCGTCCTCCTCATCTGGGTCCAAGTGTTCCATCAGGGTTTTGAACTAGTGGGACACAAGAGAGGCAGAGGATTATCGGGTCATTCCATGTGCACGTTTGCTTTCGTAATGCGCATTTTCTTCCGATTCGTAAATTGATGCTACAAAGTAGTGAAGACTTGAAAATGTTGAAAAGGGACCTCAAAATGACTGGCTAGAAAGTAGTGGCAGTAAAATTCCATGATTGGGACATGCAGGTGGTGCCAGTGTGTAAACACTCACGTCCAGGTACTGCTTGACTATCCTCTTCTTGATGTCGTGAGTGAGAACCACGTTGGCCCAGTTGTTGGACAGGAAGTCGATGGTCTGTCGGGGCTTGAAGTGGACGTTGGTCTTCCTGTTCACCGCCTTGTCGTACACCTTGGCCGACTCCGTCGGTGAGTACTTCTGGATTTTGCTGCAGACAAGGAGAAAGTGAGTAAGTTGTGCATTAATTATCTTAAGTCTATAGCCACATCAATCAATCAATCAAATGAGTGATCAAGGGGAGTTCAAAAGGTGTTTGTCATAGCCAGTTGACAATCAATTCAACATCGATACATTTGAGAGATTGAGCACTTTATGTTTGAACCATCCTAAATGCGCATCTAAACAGAACTGGGTTCAAATACTATTCAAAATCATTTGCTTTAACCAAACAGGAGTATTTGAAAGGATTTAGAATAGTATTTGAACCCAGATTTGCCTATAAACCTTAATAGGGATGTCATGTGTGAGGCACCTGTAATTGTTATTATAGGTTATGTTATATACACCTGTCTGAGAAGTTGTAGAGGTTCTTGAGGTGCTGTTTGAGCACGAGGAGCAGCAGGATGCCCTGTGAGGCATTGGCAAATTCCAGGAGCGGCGTGGCGTTCTCAGGCAGCCGCCGCATCACCCGGTCCACATCTTCCACGTCCAGGTCTTCCAGGTCCAAATCCGACTCAGAGCTGGGGTCCTCCACGACCACCGGCCTCTTGGACTTCTTAGGCCGCCGCCGCACCACCTCACCATCATCATCATCATCATCATCAGGGTTCGAGTTTTCATCGCTCCTGGGGGAGTCACAGTTCTCCTCCTTGTCCTCGTCCTCCTCCCCGCCAGAGCCGTTCTTCCAATGGTGCTCCTTTTTAACTTTGGGCTCGCGACGCCGCGGCTCCTTCAACAGAGACTGGGGAGAGAATGAGAGCGGGGCATCTGTCAACAAATGAAGAATAGCCAACAAACAAACTGCCTATTTGTGTGAATTCTGAATGGGTACTGTGTGTGTGTGTGTGTCTCGACAAGTATATTTGATCATGTTAAGAGTGCAAAGGTTTGCGTTTGTGTGTTTGCTTTTGTGTGTGTGTGCGTGCGTGCGTGCGTGCGCGTGCGTGCGTCTGACCTCTTTGAAGGTCTGCAGCAGGTTGCTCCCGGACACAGACAGTGTGATGTCTATATGGTGCATGATGAAGAGGGGTTCCTCCTGGCTCTGGAAGGGGAAACAGGCCAGGTTGTCTGCTATGAACAGCAGCATGTTCACGTCAGTCTTCTGCAGGGGCACAAGAGACACAAACCGTCAGTAGAACGCGCACAAACACACCGACAACACACATACACACACATACCGACAACACACACACACTACACACACACACACACACATACCGACAACACACTTTCACACTCATCATATGCTGCTGCTTCTCTGTTCTTTATTGTTACTCTTATTATCTATCCTGATGCCTAGTCACTTTACCCTGCCTTCATGTACATATCTACCTCAATACCTTATTATTATCTATCCTGATGCCTAGTCACTTTACCCTGCCTTCATGTACATATCTACCGCAATACCTTATTATTATCTATCCTGATGCCTCGTCACTTTACCCTGCCTTCATGTACATATCTACCTCAAATACCTTATTATTATCTATCCTGATGCCTCGTCACTTTACCCTGCCTTCATGTACATATCTACCTCAAATACCTTATTATTATCTATCCTGATGCCTAGTCACTTTACCCTGCCTTCATGTACATATCTACCTCAAATACCTTATTATTATCTATCCTGATGCCTCGTCACTTTACCCTGCCTTCATGTACATATCTACCTCAATACCTTATTATTATCTATCCTGATGCCTAGTCACTTTACCCTGCCTTCATGGACATATCTACCTCAAATACCTTATTATTATCTATCCTGACGCCTAGTGACTTTACCCTGCCTTCATGTACATATCTACCTCAAATAACTCGTACCTCTGCACATTGATCTGGTACTGGTACTCCCTGTATATAGCTCCACATTGATCTGGTACTGGTACTCCCTGTATATAGCTCCACATTGATCTGGTACTGGTACTTCCTGTATATAGCTCCACATTGATCCGGTACTGGTACTTCCTGTATATAGCTCCACATTGATCCGGTACTGGTACTTCCTGTATATAGCTCCACATTGATCCGGTACTGGTACTTCCTGTATATAGCTCCACATTGATCCGGTACTGGTACTTCCTGTATACAGCTCCATTCTGGTGTATTTTATTCTTCCTGTTCCTATTATAGTTTTACTCTGCATAGTTGGGAAGGCTTTGTAAGCAAGCATTTCACTGTAATATCTACACCCGTTGTATTCTGCACGTGACAAATAACATTTGACTTAGAAACAATAGTATTTTTTATTTTCTTTAACCTTTATTTACCCAGGAAGCCTATCAGAAGAGAGACCTGGCCAACTCAGTAAGAAAACATAATACAAACTAGCAAGCAAAAAGTGGATTGATAAAGAGGCGGGGTTGGGGTTTGGTACGAGGAGACTCACGGAGCTGTCGTCAAACAGGTTGAGCAGGGAGATGAGGAAGGCTCGCCGGTGCTGCCGGTTCCCTCGGACCATGGAGAAGAGGTGGGCGCAGAGGGCCGAGGTGGTCTCGTCCTGCCGGAAGCCCCGGATGATGCCCTTGCGGGACGCCATGATGGCCTGCTGCACCTGGTAGGACATCTTCATCCCAGCCACTGCCTTCATCTGTAGAGGGGAGACACGTCGTCAGCTAAAGCTGGTAAACACCAGCCTTTTGGGTCTGCATCCCAAATGGCGCCCTATACGACTTTTAACCAAGGACGATAGGGCTCTGGTCAAAGTTCGTGCACTATATAGGGAATAGGGTGCCAATTGGGATGCATCCTTTGGTCACTCGGTGAGGGGTTCAAACGCGGGGTTAACCACCTTTGAAATGTGAGGGAGGAGTTAGTTTGAGGACAAATGGGGAAACGTTTGCTACCGTTTCTCGAGCATGGACTCACGTGAATGAATCCGGTGTACTTCTTGTCGATCTCAACCAACTGCTGGTCCGCTTTGTTTCTCATACTGGGCTCGGGGTCTGTTCCCATGGCGATGAGGTACGGTACACACTGGAGAAAAGAAGACACACTGGTATGAGGAAAACATCCTAAGTGGGGTCTGCGGAAAACATCCTAAGTGGGGTCTGCGGAAAACATCCTAAGTGGGGTCTGAGGAAAACATCCTAAGTGGGGTCTGAGGAAAACATCCTAAGAGTGGTCTGAGGAAAACATCCTAAGTGGGGTCTGAGGAAAACATCCTAAGTGGGGTCTGCAGAAAACATCCTAAGTGGGGTCTGCAGAAAACATCCTAAGTGGGGTCTGCGGTAAACATCCTAAGTGGGGTCTGCGGAAAACATCCTAAGTGGGGTCTGCGGAAAACATCCTAAGTGGGGTCTGCGGAAAACATCCTAAGTGGGGTCTGAGGAAAACATCCTAAGTGGGGTCTGAGGAAAACATCCTAAGTGGGGTCTGAGGAAAACATCCTAAGTGGGGTCTGAGGAAAACATCCTAAGTAGGGGTCTGAGGAAAACATCCTAAGTGGGGTCTGAGGAAAACATCCTAAGTGGGTTCAGAGGAAAACAACCTAAGTGGGTTCAGAGGAAAAATCCTAAGTGGGGTCTGCGGAAAACATCCTAAGTGGGGTCTGCGGAAAACATCCTAAGTGGGGTCTGCGGAAAACATCCTAAGTGGGGTCTGCGGAAAACATCCTAAGTGGGGTCTGCGGAAAACATCCTAAGTGGGGTCTGCGGAAAACATCCTAAGTGGGGTCTGCGGAAAACATCCTAAGTGGGGTCTGCGGAAAACATCCTAAGTGGGGTCTGCGGAAAACATCCTAAGTGGGGTCAGAGGAAAACATCCTAAGTGGGGTCAGAGGAAAACATCCTAAGTGGGTCAGAGGAAAACATCCTAAGTGGGGTCAGAGGAAAACATCCTAAGTGGGGTCAGAGGAAAACATCCTAACAGGGCCCCCTTTTCACATCTGAAAAATACCCCCTCCTTTAAAAACTTTTTTTAAATTGAGATAGCCTATAGTAAATACAACACCAGCTTGATTTTGTTTAATTTGAGGGACCTAGGAATATACAGTGGGGAAAAAAAGTATTTAGTCAGCCACCAATTGTGCAAGTTCTCCCACTTAAAAAGATGAGAGAGGCCTGTAATTTTCATCATAGGTACACGTCAACTATGACAGACAAATTGAGAAAAAAAAAACCAGATAATCACATTGTAGGATTTTTAATGAATTTATTTGCAAATTATGGTAGAAAATAAGTATTTGGTCACCTACAAACAAGCAAGATTTCTGGCTCTCACAGACCTGTAACTTCTTCTTTAAGAGGCTGCTCTGTCCTCCACTCGTTACCTGTATTAATGGCACCTGTTTGAACTTGTTATCAGTATAAAAGACACCTGTCCACAACCTCAAAAAGTCACACTCCAAACTCCACTATGGCCAAGACCAAAGAGCTGTCAAAGGACACCAGAAACAAAATGGTAGACCTGCACCAGGCTGGGAAGACTGAATCTGCAATAGGTAAGCAGCTTGGTTTGAAGATAAACTGTGGGAGCAATTATTAGGAAATGGAAGACATACAAGACCACTGATAATCTCCCTCGATCTGGGGCTCCACGCAAGATCTCACCCCGTGGGGTCAAAATGATCACAAGAACGGTGAGCAAAAATCCCAGAACCACACGGGGGGACCTAGTGAATGACCTGCAGAGAGCTGGGACCAAAGTCTACCATCAGTAACACACTACGCCGCCAGGGACTCAAATCCTGCAGTGCCAGACGTGTCCCCCTGCTTAAGCCAGTACATGTCCAGGCCCGTCTGAAGTTTGCTAGAGTGCATTTGGATGATCCAGAAGAGGATTGGGAGAATGTCATATGGTCAGATGAAACCAAAATAGAACTTTTTGGTAAAAACTCAACTCGTCGTGTTTGGAGGACAAAGAATGCTGAGTTGCATCCAAAGACCACCATACCTACTGTGAAGCATGGGGGTGGAAACATCATGCTTTGGGGCTGTTTTTCTGCAAAGGGACCAGGACGACTGATCCGTGTAAAGGAAAGAATGAATGGGGCCATGTATCGTGAGATTTTGAGTGAAAACCTCCTTCCATCACCAAGGCATTGAAGATGAAACGTGGCTGGGTCTTTCAGCATGACAATGATCCCAAACACACCGCCCGGGCAACGAAGGAGTGGCTTCGTAAGAAGTATTTCAAGGTCCTGGAGTGGCCTAGCAGTCTCCAGATCTCAACCCCATAGAAAATCTTTGGAGGGAGTTGAAAGTCCGTGTTGCCCAGCGACAGCCCCAAAACATCACTGCTCTAGAGGAGATCTGCATGGAGGAATGGCCAAAATACCAGCAACAGTGTGTGAAAACCTTGTGAAGACTTATAGAAAACGTTTGACCTGTGTCATTGCCAACAAAGGGTATATAACAAGTATTGAGAAACTTTTGTTTTGACCAAAATACCTTGCAAACATGTCTAAAAACCAGCTTGTGGTCCGCCGCCGAACCCCGGTAGCCTTGCGGACCCATGATGCCTGCAATAGGTAAGCAGCTTGGTTGAGAAAACTGTGATGCACATTAAGGCTAACATCGTAGAGGGGAGAACTCCGTCAGCTAGAGGCTGAAACCACCCCTTTGGTTGCTCCAAATGGCGCCCAATACGACTTAAACCAAGGACGATAGGGCTCTGGTGCAAAGGTCGTGCATATATAGGGAATAGGTGCCAATGGGATGCATCCTTTGGTCACCCGGTGAGGGAGTTCAAACGCAGGGTTAACCACCTTTGAATGTGAGGGTAGAAGTTAGTTGAGGACAATGGGGAGAACGTTTGCTACCGTTTCTCGAGCATGGACTCACGTGAATGAATCAGTGTACTTTTGTCGATCTCAACCAACTGCTGGTCCGCTTTGTTTCTCATACTGGGCTCCGGTCTGTTCCCATGGCGATGAAGGTAGGTTTCCACAGGAGAAAAGAAGACCACTGTGAGTGAGAAAACATCCTAAGTGGGTCTGCGGAAAAACTCCTTTAAATGGGTCTGAGGAAAACATCCTAGTGGGGTCTGAGGAAAATCCTAAGTGGGGCTGCGGAAAACATCCTAAGTGGGTCTGAGGAAAACAATCCTAAGTGTGGGGTCTGAGGAAAACATCCTAAGTGGGGTTGCGAAAACATCCTAGTGGGGTCGCGGAAAACATCCTAAGTGGGTCTGCGGAAAACATCCTAAGTGGGGTCTGCGGAAAACATCCTAAGTGGGTCTGCGGAAAACATCCTAAGTGGGGTCTGCCGAAAACATCCTAATGGTGGGGTCTGCGAAAATTCCAATGGGGTCTGCGAAAAACATCCTAAGTGGGGTTCTGAGGAAAACTCCTAATGGGGTCTGAGGAAACATCCTAAGTGGTTCAAGGGAAACATCCTAAGAGTGGTCTGAGGAAAACTTCCTAAGAGTGGTCTGAGGAAGACATCCTAATGGGTTCAGAGGAAAACATCCTAAAGTGGTCAGAGGAAAAATCCTAAGGGTCAGAGGAACACATCCTAACAGGGCCCCCTTTTCACATCTGAAAAAATACCCCCTCCTTTAACAAAACTTTTTTTTGAACCTAATTTCCTGCAATTCTATGTAATTCAACAAGACTCATGACATATTTTAGGTAGGCTATTTGATAATAATAATAATAAATAAATAAATAAATAAATAATAATAATAGATAGAAAATAAACTTAAGACCCGATTTCCCTAAATATTATTTCGCTACCAAATATGTTTTATGATAATTTATATGAACCCTCAATTTAATTATACATCATATCTTACATATAGTGATTCAATCAATTGATAGCAAGTCACACTGTATTAGATTACTTCCCAAGCAAAGTCACATTTCTTTGACTCCTCGACTTCAGGTCATAGCTCAGCTTCTGAACGTCAGAGACAAACCAAATATATTCCCATGTGCATCAGAGTTGCATCTTCCTCTGGCATTTTACCGCTTGTTTCTAGCCTAAAGCATTGCGGACTTATGTGTCGTTTTAGATCGGTATAAACAATTGCGAATTGTATAAAAAAATATTTTTTTAAACACTGGTATGAGGAAAACATCCTAGCACAGAGATATTCAACAGTGGGTCCGTGGATCCCTAGGTACTGAAGGGGGTCCGAGAAATATACATACAAAAAATAAAACTTTATTTTAAAAAAAAATTGTTTTTAGGAATATCGCTAGCAACAACAGAATAAACAAAGTTTGAATTACATATCTACAGCAGAAAAGAGGATATATTATTTCTAAATGATGTCAACTTTAATTCTCAACTCCTAATATTGAGCAAATTACACTGAAAAAGCACCCGTTAATAGGCTACCTGTAAATAGGCTACCAGTGCTGCCGGTGTCGCTGGCTATTGGTAAGCTTTCTTGACATGGACATACAGTAAGGCTAACCTTTGTTTAACCAGCTAAACAGCTGCTCTTAGCAGTTGCTTCCCAAGCAGTTGCTTTTGGAGTTACCTTTCTGGCTAATAGGCTCAGAGTTTACACTTCCTCTTTCAATGATAAATGTGGGTGAGGTCAAAATAATTTATCTACCAAATCTTTTCATTTTTTAAAATGTTGATTACTTCTCCTTGCCATTATCATTCACCTGATGAAAAAAGTTTTGCTAACGTATGATGAGTCCCTGGGTCGCCGGTTTGCCTGGGAGGGGGACCCTGGGCAAGAAAAGGTTGAACACCCCCTGTCCTAACACACTGGTATGAGGAAAACATCCTCTGGAATGGGCACTTCATTCCCATGTTCTCCCAGTAAAGAAAAAAGCCTAAACGGTAGCCTCGAGGGGGATAGGACTTCAGAGTGGTCATAGACTGCCAAAAAGCGTTCTTTTTTCAAACAAGCATTGTTTACCTGCACGGGGTGGATGAGGCCCTGGTTGAGGGTGAGCGCGATGACGTTGAGGGCAAAGTGGCGCACGCTGGACTGGGTGTGGAAGAAGGCCTCCAGAACTTGCTTGAGGTACAGCTGCATGATGGAGCTGCTCATGCCCGACGAGATGTCCCCCATCTCCTTCAGGTCCTCCTGCTTGGACAGCTTCTTCCCTGCAGGACGGGAGACAGACAGACAGAGTCACCACGGCTGGAGGCACAGCAGCACACACAATAAAGAGAAGACGGCTACCAAACCTTTAAGGCTCTGTTTGACACGTGCGGCACAGGATTAGGAATATCCCTAAACTGTTCTCCAAAAACAGTGGCGGGGTGTGTCTGTTGTTGTTGTTGTTGTTTGAACTCCAGATTGCACAGATCAAGCTATGCAAAGGCTGTGAGGCAGTAAGAGGGTGTGCGAGTGGGTTGGTTGGCTTCGGAGCAGGCGGTGGGTACTGGTTACTCACAATGCTGGTCAGCCTCCTGCATGCGAGAGTCCTCCTCCTGCAGGTAGGTCTGCAAGTTCTTCAGCACCTGGATCTTCAGGTTGACCGAGGTGCTCCTGTCGGCCAGGATGCCGTTGTACAGGGTCTTCACCTCCGGGGAAAACATCTGGCTGGGGTGCATGATCACCAGGAAGCCTGTGAGGGAGGGAGCACAGGATGGAAGACCAGGGGTGTGTTCATTAGTGCACACCGTAGCAAAACATTTTGCAACAAAAAAGGAAACAAGCACTTCTTATTGGACAAATTCAGGTTGGTCCCTACCCATTTCATGCCGTTTTCTTTCTAGTGTATACCCCCCTAGGATTCATATCAACCCAGAACAAGACAGGTAACATGAGCTACGACCATGCAGGACTGCGTTCAGAAAGGCACGACGTTTTAGAATAAGGAATCACGTCAGCTCTACTCTACACATTCTTCAATGTTTGCCTACAGAACGTTGGGCCCCCGGTACAATATTAGAAGCGGTGAGGAGGAATCAGAAGGTCAACACAGCAGGCCACGGGGCAGGGCAGTGGAAGTGATATTTTACCTAAGCCGATGATGGCCTTGGACTGCACCTCCTCGTCCTCATGTTTAGTAAAGTACAGCAGCAGCTCCAGCACTTTCTCTTTGATCACCACCTGGACAGAACAGCACGAGGAAAAGAAGAGATAAATGATTGATGTAGTCGACCCAGGTTAGGAGCGTAAAAAAGGTACAGTTCTTATTCCCAGACATTTTACATATATCCTTTTTGCTGGGATGTCCACCGTCACCCATATGACTGGAGTTCCAGAGTGTGGTCTGAATTAAAAAGGAGTCCTTTACCTTGGTGATGCCCTTGAACTCCTCCATGTCAAACTCAAAGTGGCGACACAGGGCTCCCACGGTGAAGAGGGAGCGCAGGAGGGCCGGCTTGTTGGCAGCCAGAGCTGTACTGTTGGGATCTTCCTGGTGCTGTGTCTTCAGCTTGGTCAGAGCACCTTCACAAAACACAACACGGACGTGTTCTACTAGATACTCTAGCTGATTTCAAATGCATTGCATCCACAACGCGTGGCTGAATTGGGTTTTTTGAATTGTCAAATCAAATGAAATTCAAAAAAACACCAGCATGTTGTGTGTGAAGCCACAACACAGAAAGAGCTTGAACACACCAAGAGTAAGCTCAGGAGATGGTGTGTGTGTGTGTGTGTGTGTGTGTGTGTGTGTGTGTGTGTGTACACTCACCGTAGTATCTGTTAAAGCAAGACCACACAAACTTATAGTTGTGGGTCACCTTGTTGACCACGGCACCGAGGCAGCTGACACAGTGTTGGACAACCTGGCAGAGGCCGGAAGGAGGGGGGGGGAAAATCTATTCAGCTGTTTGGCAACAACAACACTGCCATTTAGCCTAGTAAAAGCCTGAGCTCATTTCAATGTGCAGGGCAGGGATCCAGTTACAAAATTCCAATAGTTTCCCTAATATTCCCAGAAATCCCAGTTGGGATTAAGCAAGCAATCAAGAATCGTCCAAACCACGATTTCTGGAAAACCTAGGAATTTTGGGAAAGTTACGGGAACTTTAGCAACCCTAGATCCAGAACACCAGGACTCTACGCACCGTCATGCCGTATTTGATGATTAGCTTCATGAGGTCTTCCTCGATGGTGGTGAGGAAGGTCTCAGAGGGGTGCTCCATCAGAGGGATCACCAGCTCCAGGATCTTGGCCACGTTACAGATCACCATGAAGTCGCTGGGGTTCTGCATCACATCACAGCACATTACAGCATTAATACTCAGGTTTCAATCCAACCTTTCTATGCCAGTAAAGTATGTCGGATTAAAAAAATAAAAAATGTCACGACAGGCCTGATGGAAACAGCTCATTTGTCGGTAAACTTTCCAAATGTCTACAAAACAAAATATGCTAGACAAGGTGGGATCTTTTTGTGTCTGTAAAATTAACTATGCGAGAAATGTCGGTGGAAACGCCTTTATGCACAAATATTGATATAATAACCATCATATCAAAGTAAACTTTGGAGTCACGCGACAATATGTTGTGTGGTCCTCCCACTACGACTCAGGAAAGCATGCAGTTTATTAGGCTACAGATTAAATAAGTTATGATTAACGTCACAGGGTGGTGAAAGGGCAAGGTGATGAGCTTGATGCTCCTTTCCAATAAATATTGAGGGTCTTATTCTGGTGACATGATGATCGATGGTTGGCTGCTGTTTAAAGAAATTAAAATAATCTCGTTTTTAATAATCTCATCATGTAGGCTATACCCACACTGTGTCTATGAGCTGTTGGCTAGATCGCACGTGCCAAGACCAGAGTGGGCGCATTCGCTATATAAACGCAACATGTTTAGTGACAAAACCATCAGCAGAGTTGAAAATGCGATGGAAACCCATTGAACTTGTATTTTGTATTCTGTACATGGGAATTTAACCGCAAAATGTATTTTTACGTGCACTACGTCATCACGCTCAGACTTTTATCTGGAACACGTCAATTTGATGGAAACACATCTCTGGTGGGAAAATGGGCATATTGTTTTTATGCAGATTTGAGGATATTCATATGAAAATCTGTGGCCAATTGGATGGAAACCTGGCTATTGATACTCAATACAATCACAACACTAGAGGTGACTTTTTACACTGTAGTCTGAAATGCACACTTTACAATGACACCACAGTGCCATCCAAACAAAAACATTCATTTCAACCAGTACCATTATATTATTTCTCATTATGTGGAATTGTTCTATTGTATATACTATATGTACATTATTTCTTAATTATTTTGTATATATTCTGTATGTTATGGTCAGCACCATTTTACCAGGTCAAATTCTTGGTACATGCAAATGTACTTGGCAAATAAAGGTGATTCTGATTTGGCAGGTTGTGCATCGTGATTATTTTTTGGTGTGGGACACGTGAGGGCTCTTTGGGATAATCTCACATTGCACTTGGTGGTCAGATAGGGTTGCATGGTCGTGGCGTGTTTGACGATGAGCTGCGCCCGGATCTTGCTGAACAGGAACAGGGTGGTGATGCAGGACACCAGGCGGGTGGAGTTCACCCCTTTATTTTCTGAAAGGGGACAAGAATCACGTTACATAAACAATTGCCAGTTTGAGAGGCCTGGTTTAAAGGGATAGTTCACTCAAAAACTATATATTTTTAGTATTTGGTTCATAAATCCCCCCCAAAAAGTGTGCATGTCAGCAGTCAAGTTCTCAAGATAGAGAGCACTTTCAGCACAAAGCAAAAACTGTGATGATGTTTTGCAGATTAGTTTACGAGTGATTAGATAGTTTGAGTGAACTATCCTTTTAAAGCCTCCTCCGGAATTGGCTGGGGAAAACTATTCGAAACAAGACCGAGGCTAGTTACCTGCAAGAGACTCCTCGTATTTGAGGATGTGCTCCACCAGATTGTCCACGAGCTGCACACAAGCCTTCTTGGCCGGTTTGTAGGCAGCGTCTTCCTCCACCTTCAACAGCTGACGAAGAGGAGAAGGGAACAGAAGGACATGGAGGCAGGAGATTAGTAGCCCCAACAGCACTCAGAGAGAGAGACGCCTTTCGGTGAATACAACACAAGGTGGCGTTCCGACAAGAAAAAAAAAAAAAAGACTTACGTTTTGAAGGAGTTGCTCGAACCAATCGTAGCCCGTGTCTTTGCAAGCCGCGACCTGCAAAACACATTGAGCACGGTAATGAGGTAATGATTGCACAATCCAAGATGCAGTCGGTGTAGGATAATAAATCAGAACATCTGCTAAATGACTAAAATGTAAATAATACATTAATATATAAACTTCCTGCGTGCTTAAATTTTTTTTTTTTTGAGTTTAGGTTGATGACAACAGAGTTGACGTGCACTCACCACGTCAGTAATGTTGAGAATCTTCCTGGTCATAGTGTCTTTGTCGTGGGCCGGGGTCGGGGTGAACCACAGCTTCTGGAATGTTTCGTTGACTAGTTTCTGTCAATGGGACAAGTATCACAGTTGAGTCAATACATCACACACGGAGCCACTGACGCTTCAAGTCCTTACAGGAGGTAAGTGGGTTTATTATTATTGTTATTATTGTCTCGTTCACTTTTAGTTTTACCTGCACTGTTGGAGCTTGGAGCATAAGAATTTCACATCTTCGCAGATGTAATCGCAGGGTACAGTGAAATTCTTATGCTGTGCATGTGACTAATAAACTCATCTGCTCTACTGTGCAGTCAGCTTCTTCTCAGCATACACAACTACTCAACTAGCGGACAATACCTCAGTTAAACGTCCTTTATATAGTTTTGTGTACGACTGATTTCGAATAGAAATGTTAGTTATAGAACTGTCATTCTCATTGAATGCAAGTCTGATAAGCGGTAGATTCATTATATGTGCAATATTTCAATGTTTCCCCTCCGAAAGCCGTTACTGCTTCTTTTTACTTTGCTTCAAACAGCTTGAAAATACAATATTTTTGGTTATTGAAAAAAAAAAAGACAATATCCTGCGGGAAAAAATATTTCACAGCGTTTTAGATGGTATAATGATTCTCTACATAAATACATCGCATGTTGTGTCACAAACTGAAATCAGACAAACATTTGGAAATGTTTGACATTTTTGAAATATTTCTACACCTTTAAGCCTAGACACAACAGGGTCTGTAGTTTTTCCTGGTCAAGATCAACTCTGTGCCCTAACGTTAAGAAGAGTACCTTAATGCCCTCCTCATCATTGACCCGGCGGATCATCCTCACGCACATCTCTGTGATCTTGTTGAAAGTGGGCTGCTCCAGACAGATGTCTCTCAGGATCTTAATCACCCTCTTCCTCACGCTGATGCCCGTGTCCTGAGGAAGAGGAAAGGCAGATACTTACTGACCGTCTCGTATCTCAAGTATATGGGCTACACTTTCAAAAGTAAAGGCTGTACATTTTAACTGAGCGCCAGCGGTGGGTGCAATGCTTTTATTTAGCCAATAGGTGGCAGTGGAAGACAACAACAAACGTGCATGAACATGAGGTGAACTATCAATGAACTCCCCGATGGATTGATGGCCACCAGTGCAACAACACTCTTCAGCTGAGATTGCTTTTTCGGACACTTGGGACGTTGTGTTACGGTGTGTGTGTTAGTTGGGATACTCACCAGTATCCTCTCGATAAGCATGTCGTAGTACTGCTCGGTGAGCTGGGGTCGGCTCAGCACGAAGCGGCCCAGAAGCTCCACAGCCGCCTCGCGAACGCTGGTGGAGTTGTCCATCAGACGCCCATGCACCCCGCGCTGCATGTCCAACTGCACACACAGCCAGGGGACGATAGGGTTAAAGGAACAGTACACATTTTTTTTGGTATTTTGTTCATCCGTCCACTGGTAATGGACGAAAAAGTGTGCATGTCAGCTGTCAAGTTTTTAAAAATCAAAAACGTATCACGTTGCGTTTTGTTGTTTACACACTGCCACAGGACAAGGCTGGCCACACATAACACACTCCTACCCTGGAAAGAATGCTGGGGTCCACAGAAACCACCTCTGACAGACATTTCATGGCTTTTGTCCGGACAGCGATTGCACTCTCCCCCAGGACTCGCAGGATCTAGAGAGAGAGAAAAAGAGAGAAGAAAGAGAGAGCGAGAGCGAGAGAGCGCGAGACAGAGACGAGAGACAGAGAGAGAGGAGAGCAGAGAGAGAGAGAGACAGAGAGAGTAGCAGAGAGACAGAGAGAGAGAGAGAGAGAGAGAGAGACAGAGAGAGACAGAAGAGAGAGACAGAGAGATAGAGATAGAGAGACAGGAGAGGAGAGACAGAGAGAGAGAGAGAGAGAGAGGACAGAGAGACAAGAACAAGAGAGACGAAGAGACAGATGATAGAGAGACAGAAGAGAGAGAGCAAGAGAACGAGAGAGATAGAAGAGAGAGAAGAGAGAAGATAGAGAGATAGACGAGAGGAGTAAGACGAGATGACAGAATAAGAGAGACAGAGATAACAGAAGAGATAGCGCGCGAGACAGAGAACAGAGAGAGAGAAAAGCCACGGTGTTGCTCATTGTTACTCACTGCCTGGCAGGACAGAGCATCTTAGAGAAGGACTGCTGATCTAGGATCAGATCCCCCCCTATCCATACAATTGTATTCTATGATCTAAAAGGCAAAACTGATCGAAACTAGATCAACACTCCAACTCTGAGAGGCTTTCTGAATACGGGCCTGGAGTTCCTTCAACAGCGTCAAATCAAACATTATTTTAAGTGCATTTAAAATCACAACACTTTACAGTAAAATTACAACACTTTACAGTAAAACCACAAAATAAAGTAGATAAACAGAAAGCAATACAACAGATGAATAAGGCAACATGCTTCTGGGTTCCTTGCCTGGGTTAAGTAAATATCAAAGCTCTGGGCGAACGGCCTCATGGAGGCCAAGTAGCGGACGATGAGGCAGGAGTCGTCGTAGTCCACCGTGTCCGAGTTCATTCTGACAACACAGAAGAGGTTGGGGAAAACAGCTTTAGTATTTACATCAACCACTGGGGCCATTCCTTCACATCAGGGCTGTGCAAGAGCTGCGTTATGAAGATGGTCCAGAGAGGAGCGTTGGTCACATCAAAATAGAATTATATCCATAAATCAAATAGATATTGTAGAAATATAATAGATATATAATTAGATAGATTAACACCATTTCACAGGGTGGTCTGAACTAGGGTTGGGCGGTATACAGATTTTCATATCGTCATACCATCCTCCTCTCATCCCAAGTTTGGACATTTACAAGTTTGTGAACGAGAGACATTGTGCAAATGAATAAAGTTTTGAAGCGTGCTTTTCTGACGGAAGAACAGCACTGGCTCTGGAGCAGAATGTCTCCATGCTGCGTCTGTGTGTAGTCTGGAGTCGCTAGGGCAACGGGCCTGCCTGCTCTGCTCGGAGCAGACGGGCCAAGAACGGAGAGGAGAAAAAACTAAAGGAAATCAAGATGGCAGTGGCAGCTGTACAGATAACTCATCCAACGGGCTTTGACTTCTCAAACACGGCAGAAAGCTGACACTATATGATGCCCCGTCTTCTTATTAATTCAGACACTTACTGAGATAACTAGCCAGTTAAAACCATACACACAGCTGGTCTCACCTACTCCCTCTTTCTCCGGTTGTATTTACAAACAAACACGTGACTGGCTCAACTCCAGCAGCGCTCACTTCACGAGCTCAAGGCATGCCCGGCCCAGCATGCATTGTCATTGTAGCAAAGTATTTATAAACTAAAAAGTTTTGTTCATTTTTAGGCCATTATCTTACAATAGGCCATAATTGATTTTGGCCCAATAGGCCTGGCTTATTCCCACGTTCAAGGAGCTTTACGTTTTGATTGGACTATTTTGCCTAAAAACCTTCAGGCCTACCTATAGAAAAATAAAAACAACAACTCTGCATCCATGCCCAGACTGGCAAGAGAGGCCCAAAGGGTGTTTAGGATCCCCAGTGGCTCTGCAGGGGTGGAGAGGATATTATCCACTGCTGGCCTTCTCTCCAAGCATCATCACATGAACCTGAAGCCAAAGACTGGCCAAACGCGTGTTTCTAAAAATGAATTCAAAGGCACTAAGTCATGTTTCATTTAATTTGTATTTAATTCTAAGTAAGTCACAGCCTATATGCGCAATTTATAGACTATAGTGATTGAATACAACAAAATGTTGTTTAAATGCTGAGTGCTTAACGTCCCTACCAGCCTATTGTCTGTCTCCCTGACCTACTAAGTGTTTATATGTTGTTTAATACGACATGTAGCCTGTTTGAAATGAGCGCTTCTTACGTTCACCTTTTCATGTTTATTCAAATACTTTTCGTTCAAATCCATATGGTTTGGTTTCAATACTTCAAAACCAAATGATAGGTCCAAGTAGTCACAAAAATAGATGGGTTTTGGTTAAATTGTGATTTTAATGAATGGAGCGAATTTGGTATTTTTTTCTTGTTTTTAGTGGAGCGGTTGGAAAGGACGTGGCGCGCCGGAGCGGTGCTCCATGAGCGGGATTTCCACCGCTCACATACTCTAAACGTTAAATAATGTGACAGGAGAAATGAAGAACGCAATCTGCTTTATCTCCTAATGTATTTCACAAGTTGACTGCAGGTATTAACTTTTTTTTAAACTCTCCAATTACCCCGGTCTATAGTAATGGTGTATACAGTATACTGTCCAAGCCTAGTCTGAACAGACAGACAGACAGACAGACAGACAGACAGAGAGACGTGCAGTACCTTAGGGTGGTGAACTGGGAGGGGGCCGTCTTGATGATCTTGCGGAGGAACTTCTTGCGCGCCTCAGCCCGCTGCATGACCTCCCCAATGGTCTCGATGTCCTTGGCGTGGTGGCCAGGACCGTCCGACGAGTCCTCTTCCCGGTCCCGTTTCTGGCTCTTCATGGCCTTCTCCGTCTCTATGGTGGTGTCGCGGAACCACTGGGCAATGTAGAACTTCCTGGCAAACTGGCAAAGGCAAAGTACACAGTTAGAAGGAATTCACTCAATAATACTACATTACATTTGTTAAGCACCTTTCAATCCAAAAAGAATCTCAAAGTTCATCCAATAAAATAAATGACTAGAAAAGAAGAGCGTGGTGGAACACAAACTGACCAACAGTGAAGGGTCTGTCTCTGTGTTCTCCTCCATGTAGTCCAGAAGGGCTTTCTGCAGTTGCTGGGTCTCGTCGTCGCCTTGGGTCTGTGTGGGAAAAGGAAACATTTAAATGAGAAAGATACATTACAGATAAATATAAATGTTCCAGGGCTTTCCATTGCCTGTTCCGCCTCTGACTCGTGCCCACCTCTGATCTTTCTGAGAAATAGAAGTCATTTTGTTCCCCACCTCTTTCAGGATGCGGTCAATGGATCGCTGGTCCATCTGGCTGGTGACGGCGTCTTTGCGCAGGCGAGCGGCGACCGTGCCCAGGTAGTCCAGGGAGGCAACCCTCAGGGCCATCTCCGTCTGCTTGTTACTGAACTGGTGCACCTGAGAGAGAGAGAGAGAGGGGGGATGGTTAGAGAGAGAGAGGGAGGCAGAGAGAGAAGGGGGTGAGGAGAGGGAGGGATGGAGAGAGGGAGATAGGAGGGGGGTTAGGGCCTCCACTCTGATGAGGTAGATGCACCAAGAAGAGGAGTAAACAGTTGGACTAGTTTAGTAGTATTACTGTGTTTTGGGTTACTGCGAGGGAAACACCATCTTTTGACAGGGAAAGCAGAATGAATACTCCAAGACCAACAAATATGATTCTGCCTAACGAATCGAGCAATGCATAAATATGGAATGACCTATGACAGCCAGACAAGGCAGAGGGCCAGCCAGACAAGGCAGAGGGCCAGCCAGACAAGGCAGAGGGGCAGCCAGACAAGGCAGAGGGGCAGCCAGACAAGGCAGAGGGCCAGCCAGACAAGGCAGAGGGCCAGCCAGACAAGGCAGAGGGGCAGCCAGACAAGGCAGAGGGGCAGCCAGACAAGGCAGACAGGCAGCCAGGACTCACCAGCAGTCTGCCTAGCAGGCTCAACAGTAGCTCGGCAGCTGGCCACTCAGGCTTGTTGACCGTGGAGAGCAGGTCCTGGACAAAGTTCTCAAACAGAGGCCTGTAGTCCTCCTCGCTCCCCTGCTTACTGCCACACCTGGGCACGACAAAAAAACAGAAAGAGAAAGATGGGGGAGAGAGGCTGTTAGGTGGACGTTACACTAACCACAGCTGATGGGGGAGAGAGGCTGTTAGGTGGACGTTACACTAACCACAGCTGATGGGGGAGAGAGGCTGTTAGGTGGACGTTACACTAACCACAGCTGATGGGGGAGAGAGGCTGTTAGGGGGACGTTACACTAACCACAGCTGATGGGGGAGAGAGGCTGTTAGGTGGACGTTACAACTAACCACAGCTGATGGGGGAGAGAGGCTGTTAGGTGGACGTTACACTAACCACAGCTGATGGGGGAGAGAGGCTGTTAGGTGGACGTTACACTAACCACAGCTGATGGGGGAGAGAGGCTGTTAGGTGGACGTTACACTAACCACAGCTGATGGGGGAGAGAGGCTGTTAGGTGGACGTTACACTAACCACAGCTGATGGGGGAGAGAGGCTGTTAGATGGACGTTACACTAACCACAGCTGATGGGGGAGAGAGGCTGTTAGATGGACGTTACACTAACCACAGCTGATGGGGGAGAGAGGCTGTTAGGTGGACGTTACACTAACCACAGCTGATGGGGGAGAGAGGCTGTTAGGGGGACGTTACACTAACCACAGCTGATGGGGGAGAGAGGCTGTTAGGGGGACGTTACACTAACCACAGCTGATGGGGGAGAGAGGCTGTTAGGTGGACGTTACACTAACCACAGCTGATGGGGGAGAGAGGCTGTTAGGTGGACGTTACACTAACCACAGCTGATGGGGGAGAGAGGCTGTTAGGTGGACGTTACACTAACCACAGCTGATGGGGGAGAGAGGCTGTTAGGTGGACGTTACACTAACCACAGCTGATGGGGGAGAGAGGCTGTTAGGTGGACGTTACACTAACCACAGCTGATGGGGGAGAGAGGCTGTTCGGTGGACGTTACACTGACCACAGCTGATGGGGGAGAGAGGCTGTTAGATGGACGTTACACTAACCACAGCTGATGGGGGAGAGAGGCTGTTAGGTGGACGTTACACTAACCACAGCTGATGGGGGAGAGAGGCTGTTAGGTGGACGTTACACTAACCACAGCTGATGGGGTTATGAGGAGATACAACAAATATAAACAAAGAGAGGGCAAACTGTCTGGAGATGAAAGACAATCTTACTTCTTGAGGAACACCGAGAGGAAGTTCTGGGCCGTCCTCATGGCCGTCTCGTAGTTGTTGGTGATCAGCAAGTCCTGATCTACCTAGAACAAATCAAACATTCACAGAGGATTGTTAAAATAAGGATGCTCTTCACTTGAGTTGGATAGAGGGCACACTACCCACAAAGCCCGGTTTGACCTGGGTGGTGCCATTGAAGTGGGCCCTCTTTCTAACTCTATGTGATGGCGGCTGTGTGTTTTGGTGCATTCAAGACAACTGGGAACTCAAAAATAAACAAGCTCCGACTCCGAAAATCGGTTTGAACGGTCATCCAACCGTTCAAACCCAAGTCGGACACTCGGGCATCATCCTAGAGCTCCCACTCTAGAGCTCCAACTTCTCCGACCTCAAGATCACTATCTGAGCTCGTTATATTCCAAGTTTACAACGGTCTGTGCACCATTTCTTTGCATACCTTGCTGTCGTACTCGTCCTCCATGGCGTCGCGGTCGTTGGGGAGGTGCACCACGCACTGAATGAGCTGCAGCACCAGGGCTGTAACCATCTGGATGTACATGGGCTCGCCGTCCCTGTCGCTGCTGTTCAGCCTTCCCAAACAACCAATAGCATTTGTCAGAGTTATTAGTTGATTTTATACCTTTATTAAACCAGGGGTGCATTCATTAGCGCACACCATAGCAAAACACTTTGCAACGGAAACAGTTGGCAACAGAAGCATTTTAGCGTTTATTGGACAAGTTCAGGTATGTCCCACCCTGTTTGCTTCCATTTGGTTCCTAGTGAATACACCCCAAGTCTTTCAAGACACATTCCCTTTAACTGGAACGGTTTTGACACAGTGGGGAATGTTTTTATTACATTTTGTTGTGCCTCTCCTTCCTATGTTATATGGGCTTGGTTATGGTTCTATTTACCTGAAGTTGCGGAGACTGCGTTTGCTGGTGGGCAGTCTGGCCAGAGAGGTGAAGATCTCTTCCAGAATCAGCTGTCTGTGCTTCTCATAGCGGGAGAAGACCTAGCCACGGACAGAAGACAAGGTTAAGGTCAATCTAACACAGTGTTTCTCAAACTCGGTCCACTGGACCCCAAGTGGTGCACGTTTTGGGTTTTTTGCACTAACATTACAAAGCTGATTCAAATGATCAAAGCTTGATGATTAGTTGATTATTTGAATCAGCTGTGTAGTGCTAGGGCAAAAAAACCGAAACGTGCACCCCTTGGAGTCCCGAGGACAGAGTTTGGGAATCCCTGATCTAACACTTTGTTTGAACAAATCATGCTTTTAGCCACCCACAAAATGATGTTTTGAGTGAGATGACCTGCTAGAATTTACAGCTCGCACCGATGTGACCAATAAAACAAATTAAATAACGGTCTCACTCTGCAGCCTTGGAAGGGAACAAGCACTTACCGCTGTCACCAGCTTGATGGCACATAGCTGCAGCTCACTGACACTCTCCACAAAGAAAGGGGTGATGCCCATGGAGGAGATCTAGCACAGGGAGGGAGAGAGAGAAATAGATTGTTTTGTTTGTTGTTTATTTCACTTGCTTTAGCAATGTAAACAAACAGTGCATTCAGAAAGTATTCAGACCCCTTTACTTTTTCAAAATGTTGTTACGTTACAGCCGTATTCTAAAATGGATTAAATAGTTTTTTCCCCTCATCAATCTACACACAATACCCCATAATGACAAAGCAAAAACTGGTTTGTAGACAAAATAAAAAACTGAAATATAACAAACTTTCAGACCCTTTACTCAGTACTTTGTTGAAGCACCTTTGGCAGTGATTACAGCCTCAAGTCTTCTTGGGTATGACGCTACAAGCTTGGCACTCCTGTATTTGGAGAGTTTCACCCATTCTTCTCTGCAGATCTTTTCAAGATCTGTCAGGTTGGATGGGGATCGTTGCTGCACAGATCCGGTTCAAGTCCGGGCTCTGTCTGGGCCACTCAAGGACATTCAGAGATTTGTCCGAAGCCACTCCAGCGTTGTCTTGGCTGTGTGCTTAGGGTCGTTGTTCTGTTGGAAGGTAAACATTCGCCCCCAGCCTGAGGTCCTAAGCGCTCTGGAGCAGGATTTCATCAAGGATCTCTGTACTTCGCTCCGTTCATCTTTCCCTAAATGCTGACTAGTCTCCCAGTCCCTGCCGCTGAAGAAATCCCCACAGAATGATGCTGCCACCACCATGCTTCACCGTAGGGATGATGTCAGGTTTCCTCCAGACGTCCTTTAAGTGACTTTTGGCAAACTCCAAGTGGGCTGTCATGTGGCTTTTGTTGAGGAGTGGCATCCTTCTGGCCACTCTACCATAACGACCTGATTGGTGGAGTGCTGCAGAGATGGTTGTCCTTCTGGAAGGTTCTTCCATCTCCACAGAAGAGCTCTGGAGCTCTATCAGAGTGACCATTGGGTTCTTGGACACCTCCATGATCAAGGCCCTTCTCCCCTGATTGCTCAGTTTGGCCGGGCGGCCAGCTCTAGGAAAAGTCTTGGTGGTTCCAAACTTCTTACATTTAAGAATGATGGAAGCCACTGTGTTCTTGGGGACCTTCAATGCTGCAGAATCGTTTTGGTACCCTTTCCCAGATCTGTGCCACGACGCAATCCAGTCTCGGAGCTCTACGGACAATTCCTTCAACATCACGGCTTGTTTTTTGCTCTGACATGCACTCTAAATATTTACATTTACATTTTAGTCGTTTAGCAGATGCTCTTATCCAGAGCGACTTACAGTTAGTGAGTGCATACATTTTTATACTGGCCCCCCGTGGGAAACGAACCCACAACCCTGGCGTTGCAAGCGCCATGCTCTACCAACTGAGCTACAGGGGACCCTGTAGGACAACTGTGGGACCTTATATAGACAGGTGTGTGCCTTTCCAAATCATGTCCAATTAATTTAATTTACCACAGGTGGACTCCAATCAAGTTGTAGAAACATCAAGGATTATCAACGGAAACAGGATGCACCTGAGCTCAATTTCGAGTCTCATAGCAAAGGGTCTGAATATTTATGTAATTAAGTTATTTCAGTTTTTTATTTTTTATACAATTTCAAAAAACCTGTTTTTGCTTTGTCATTATGGGGTATTGTGTGTAGATTGATGAGGAAAAATTAATTTAATCAATTTTATAATAAGGCTGTAAAGTAACAAAATGTTGAAAAAGGGAAGCGGCCTGAATACTTTCTGAATGTACTGTATATTTTAACATGCCAATAAAGCCCTTGAATTACAGCGAGAGCGGAGAGAGAGAGGAGCCAGCGGTGGGAGAGAGAGCGAGAGCAGCCAGCGGGGGGGGGGGGGGGGGGAGGGGAGAGAGGAGAGATAGAGAGAGAGAGAGAGAGAGAGAGAGAAGAGAGAGAGAGATATAGATAGAGTACTAGAGAGAGCGAGATAAGAGAGGATAAGAGCAGCGTATATGGAGGGAAGAATGATAGAGATATAGAAATCCCAGCTTGCGAGAGAGATGAGCCCCAGAGCGAGAGAGAGGAGGAGCCAGCAGAGAGAGAGGAGCCAGCGGGGGAGAGAGAGAGAGAGAGAAGCCAGCGATGGAGAGCGAGAGAGAGGAGCCACGGAGAGAGAGAAAGCCAAGCGGGGGGAGAGAGAGGAGCCATTTTTTTATATAGATTAACTATTTGCAATTGTACAAAACGTAATAGACATAATGATTTGAAATGAGGAACTCTGAGTGTATGTTTGATAGATTGATAGAAGAACATATCTAGAGGAGAGAGAGAGAGAGAAGCCAGCGGAGGGAGAGCGAGAGAGAGGAGCCAGTGGAGAGAGAGAGAGGAGCCAGCGGGGGGAGAGAGAGAGGACTAAGGAGGGGTTACAGCAGCATCTAGATCATCTGCACAGATTCTGTCAGACCTGGGCCCTGACCGTTAATCTAAAAAAAAACAAATATAATGATATTCCAAAAAAGGTCCGGAAATCAGGATGACAAATATAAATTTTATGTGGACACAGTTCTATTAGAACACACCAAAAATTACACATATCTAGGACTAAATATCAGCAACACAGGTAGCTTTCACATGGCTGTGAATGAGCTGAGAGACAAAGCAAGAAGAGCATTCTATGCCATTAAAAGGAATATTAAAATCGAAATTCCAATTAGAATCTGGCTCAAAATTTTCCAATCAGTTATAGAACCAATTGCTCTATATGGCAGCGAAGTATGGGGTCCGCTCTCTAATACTGAATTTACCAAATGGGACAAACATCCAATCGAAATACTGCATGCAGAGTTTTGCAAGACTGTATTGCACGTGCAAAGAAAAACTCAAAATAACGCATGTAGAGCAGAATTGGGCCAATACCCCCTCCTTATTCGAATAGAGAAAAGAGCCATCAAATTTTACAACCATCTAAAAACAAGTGACCCCAAAACATTCCATCACACAGCTCTACTATGTCAAGAGCTGAAACAAGAGAAGAGTCCCCTCAGCCAGCTGGTTCTGAGGCTCAGTTCACTAACCACAACCAACCTCATAGAGCCTCAGGACAGCACTCAGAAAATCTGGCCCAACCAAATCATCACAAAGCAAAAAGAAAAATATATCACCTATTGGAAAGACACCACAAAAAATCTAAGTAAACTTCAATGCTATTTGGCTCTAAACAGACAGTACATGGTGGCAGACTATCTGACCACTGTGACTGATAGAAAACTGAGAAAAACACTGACTAGGTACAGACTCAGTGTGCACAGTCTGGCTATAGAGACCGGTCGTCACAGGCAAACCTGGCTGCCCAGAGAGGACAGGCTGTGCTCACTCTGCCCCCGGGGAGAGGTAGAGACAGAGCTGCATTTCCTATTACACTGTGACAAATACTCAGACCTAAGAGAATCTTTCTTTCCCAAAATTATCATTCAGTACAAAGAATTTGAAACTATAAAGGAGGAAGAAAAAATCTAATATTTATTGGGTTAAAAACCCAAATGTGCAATTTTGGCAGCCAAATATGTGTCCTCCTGCCACAACCTGAGGGACAGCCAGTGAAAAGTGTAATGTCAATAATATTTCCTGTTTTGTTTTGGCTTTCATAGCATGTAATGTGTCTTCTCAGTCATGTTGAGATTGGTCGACTACTATTGCTTTAATGTATTGTTATTCTCATTAATATTGTTGTTGTAGTTGCTGTTAATGGTAATCCCATTTCCACTACTACTATTATTATTGCTGTTGGTCCCACCATTTTTGTTTTATGTATACTTTGACAATGTAAGTAATTTTACTTGCCATGTCAATAAAGTCAATTGAATTGAATTGAGAGGAGCCAGCGGGGAGAGAGAGAGAGAGGAGCCAGCGGGGGGAGAGAGAGAGGAGAGAAGAGCCAGCGGAGAGAGAGAGGAGAGAGAGAGGAGCCAGCGGAGAGAGAGAGGAGGAGAGAGAGAGGAGAGAGAGAGGAGAGAGAGGAGCCAGCGGAGAGAGAGAGGAGCCAGCGAGAGAGAGAGAGAGAGAGAGAGAGGGAGAGAGAGGAGCCAGCGGGGAGGGAGAGAGAGAGAGAGACGAGAGAGAGAGAGGAGCCAGCGGAGAGAGAGAGAGAGAGAGAGAGAGAGAGAGGAGCCAGCGGAGAGAAAGAGAAAAAGAAAAGAAGAGAAATAACAAGAAAATACAATTATTGCTGAGGTCCTAATGTCTAGGTCGTAATGTGGGTTACTGATGAATGCAATGATCTAAAAAGGAGAAAAGAGGAGGAGCTACCTGGAGGATGGTGGTGTCGGTGAGCAGCTGGATCTCCAGTAGCTCAGAGATGTTGCTGACCATGTCGCACACCTTGTTGTACAGCATGACAATGACCCGCTGCTTGTGGGTGGAGCATTTGGCCCGCTTGGCCTTGGAGCTCAGCAGGCCACCTGTTGCGGGGAACGAGAGTGTGATGCGTTGCCGTCTTGAACAAATTGCATCCCAATAATAGACCACTTCGGAAATAAGTGTTTTCATTCATATTTTCATGTGTTCATCCTCTGGTGTTCAAATGTACATCTCGTAAATGTACGACTGATTTGCGATCGAAAATCGAATGGAAAACAATTCCATTCAATGTCACCCACAGGCTGTTTGTGAACAGCAAAACACATTATCTACGACTACGTAGTTGTCACGAGAAAGGCATAATGGGTGAGGAAATTGGTGATGGCGTTTCAGACGAACGTGTGTGTGTGTGTTATGTGTGGGGTAATTGGGGTTATAAAGATAGCTGACCTCCATGAGGATCCACCCGATAGACAGGATCATACTGGGGGTAGAGGGTGTTCTGCAGGTGGAACTTGGTGTACTGGAGGACCCTCTCGATCACATCCTCGATGTACACCGCCTTGGGCATGTGGGCGGACGTCATGATGTTGAGGGCCGTTAGGCAGGCGTCGGCCGACTTGGTCACACGCTCCATGATGAGGTCACGCCACAGCTTCTCCTCATCCTCGTCGTTGTCCTGCGTGTGAGCAGAGAGGGGCAGAGTTCCACCGATCACAACAAAATGGCTACAAAGTATAGGCTTATCGCTAGTGGAGAACAAATGATCCCCAAAGTAGTAATGTAGTAGTGTGGGAATAATAATAATAATAATAATAATATGCCATTTAGCAGACGCTTTTATCCAAAGCGACTTACAGTCATGCGTGCATACATTTGTGTGTATGGGTGGTCCCGGGGATCGAACCCACTACCTTGGCGTTTCAAGCGCCGTGCTCTACCAGCTGAGCTACAGAGGACCACAGAAGACACTCACGTGGTTCATGAGGGTCGAGAGCCTGGCCCCATCCTGGATGTTTTTCTCCAGGATATTCAGTACCTTCACCAGCTTATCGGACGGTATCTGTGAATCAATCGATTTCAAGGAAGAGATCCAAGGAAGAGAGATACATTTGAAAAGGTATTCGAGAACAGGGCCATGAATTCATGAACATGCCAAGTTGAAAAGGCCTACCCTGCAGGTGATGCCCATGGCCTTGATCTTGGCCGACTCGCTGCCCAGCTCATTCAGCTGCTGTTTACCCAGTAGCAGCTCCTGTGGGATTTCATCGTCGTCTAATGATGGAGGATCAGAGAGGGGGGGGGGGGGGGGGGGGGGGTTTAAATATATAGCGCTCTACACTCAGGGAACTGGCTAGGGTCATTAAGTTAGATTAACAACAGAGAAACAGCAAATAGATGTAACTTACCCATTTGCGTGAAGTCCACATCCTCCAGATTCTCTAGGATGTTGTCAACGCTGGAGGAGAATCTTTTGAATGTGGACGAGTCCATCAGTTCTGAAAGGCAGAAAGTAAATGTCATCTGTCATCATCATTACTCGTCGTATGGCATGATAGCGGCAATCAAATGGAAAACAACTGAACATTTACCCTCGTGAGTGAGCTTGGGCTCATACGCTTTCCTCTTTTTCTGCTTCTCTTTTTTCTTCATCTGCCTGGCAACTGAAAGAGATAGAAAGAGCATCATTTCATTTCAAACAATATTTAGTTAATAAAAGACCCTCAACAATGTTAATGCTCTGACCATATCAAAGAACCATTCAGACAAAACCAATTCCTATGATTATCAATGGTAAATAATGCAAATAATTGTATGTGAAAACAATATTTTTGTGAACATGAACGTTTAATTTCGTCGTTATAATGCAATGCAATGCTCTCTCTCTCTCTGGGAAGGGCCACGGTCAGCCTAGACTGCGGCTGGCTGATAGCTAGGTAACGTTACTGTCAGCGTCCAAATGTTGTACAAACATTTCAAATCAAATCAAATTTTATTGGTCACATGCGCCGAATACAACAGGTGCAGACATTACAGTGAAATGCTTACTTACAGCCCTTAACCAACAGTGCATTTATTTTAAACAAAAAAAAGTGTTGAGAAAAAAAGAGCAGAAGTAAAATAAAGTGACAGTAGGGAGGCTATATATACAGGGAGGTACCGTTGCAGAGTCAATGTGCGGGGGCACCGGCTAGTTGAGGTAGTTGAGGTAATATGTACATGTGGGTAGAGTTAAAGTGACTATGCATAAATACTTAACAGAGTAGCAGCAGCGTAAAAAGGATGGTGTGGGGGGGCAGTGCAAATAGTCCGGGTAGCCATGATTAGCTGTTCAGGAGTCTTATGGCTTGGGGGTAGAAGCTGTTGAGAAGTCTTTTGGACCTAGACTTGGCACTCCGGTACCGCTTGCCGTGCAGTAGCAGAGAGAACAGTCTATGACTAGGGTGGCTGGAGTCTTTGACAATTTTGAGGGCCTTCCTCTGACACCGCCTGGTATAGAGGTCCTGGTTTTTCTCTTTCCAGAGTCATGTCTTTAGAAATCCTGAACAAACGTTATTTTTTTATGTTCACTGAAGCGCATACCTACAAGTTTAAGCTTAGTCATAAATCTAGCTAGCTACAGTAGCTAACTATGTAGCCTACAGTTAGCAAGTTATGTCCCTTGATCAACCTAATGTAACATGAAATGTCTATAAGTTATTAAAATGTAGTTAATGTGTAAATCAGTTCGACGCTAGAAGGACAGCTGGCTATATTTCACGTTTCAACAAACTTGCGGGCTGGCTTATAGGCAGTAGCTAGCTAGCTACCTTTGGCTGGACTATGTGGCTTGCTTGCAACTAAAATGATGTGGCAAATTAGCACAAGCCAAGCACCGTGCTAAACAGCTGCCTGCCTGGAGAACAAGGAGGAACATAGATAGTAGGGGAGTGCAAAGTACCTCAGACAAAACGAGTATCATAACGGTTAAGGAACATTTTCCAAATGCGATTATGACATGTCTTTTTTGTAATTATCTGTCACCGGAAAAAAAGTAATATTCAGCTGCCAGTGCACAAACAGCGTGCTCTAAACAACTACTGGCTAGTTCTTCCGTCTGTAAAAAAAAATGGGCGGGGTATCGGTTGAGCCTGCTGCAACGACTGGATTAGAACAAGGCACTCTCCCTCTGCTCTCATTTGCCCAAACAGAGACACGACACTCTGTTTCACTCACAGTAATTCGTCTCAGGGCACAAGTCAGCCCTTCTCCAAACATTGTGTGTGAATCAGAATCCGTAGCTAGTTATTGTTGTTCAATCTAGTTATTTCCCGTGGACTTTGCTGAGTGGCGCAGTGGTCTAAGGCACTGCATCGCAGTGCTAACTGTGCCACTAGAGATCCTGGTTCGAATCCAGGCTCTGTCGCAGCCGGCCGCGACCGGGAGACTCATGGGCGGCGCACAATTGGCCCAGCGTCGTCCAGGGTAGGGGAGGGAATGGCCGGCAGGGATGTAGCTCAGTTGATAGAGCATGGCGTTTGCAATGCCAGGGTTGTGGGTTTGATTCCCACGGGGGGCAAGTATTTTAAAAAAATATGTATTCACTAACTGTAAGTCGCTCTGGATAAGAGCGTCTGCTAAATGACTAAAATGTAAAATGTAAAATATGGTTGTTTTGGTCCGTCTAGGTGTTGTTTAGGCTACTTTGTCTGCCCGTATAATTACACCATCGCTAACGACGTCTGTCGTTATGCCGTGATCCAAGCCCATGCTTGCTTGCTATTATTATTTATTCTCGCCCAGGCATGTTTACCAAGCGACAGATCATTAGAAAATAAAATGACAAATGTAGAACGTTTATTTTGATTGTACAAATGCTGTAGCATACGTGTCGGGAGAGAAAAGTTTGGCTCCTCTCGAAAGTGAAACAAATATATGGGGGCAAGAGAATTAGCCTACCTTCATCTAAATCTGTCTGGAATAAATGCAGGCTGTAATAGCCAGCCAAGAATTAGGCTCTATATTAGCCTTTAGTCTTTATTATTCGTTTATAATGGAATAGGACTAAGTAAGTAAATCATGTGCATTTTCATCTGTCGGGGTCGTTTACCTTTGAACAATGTGTGTGAATGAGTGAAGGAACATAACGATGCGCTCTGAGTGATAGCGCAGTAACGTGCACTTGAGGAATAGGCTTTACCGGGATTTAAAAGCGCAGTTTTTTCCGATCACGAGTAAATCCGATTAAGAGTATCAAGTGTGATAAAAAGGATACAATTTCTAATACGAGTATGAGGAGATGGAATAGATAGCTACTTCTAGCAAACCAACAAAGATATTATGCCATGTAGTAGGCTATGTGTAATGCTGTCCAACTTGCTAACTAGCTAGCAGTGCTTGGCTGGTGATAGCATCGTCGCTAGCTAGCTAGTTAGCTATCCGAAGCGGGTAGCTGGGGATTGTATTAGCTACCTAGCTACAGTGAATCCAGCTAGCTAGCTAGACAACGCGTCGCCTATTCCCCTCTGCCCCAGCTCACTTATTTTGCAGCGCGTCATCATAAGCTACTACGCACTGCATGATGGGAGAATACAGCTCCTACTGTATTCCACAAGCGTATGGGACAGTGTATTTAAGAATTACAAATAGCTAAACTGGCAGTCATAAGTCAGTCAATGCAGGTTGGAGAGAGGGAAACTCACTGTCGCTCATGCTGGGTGGGGGCGACTCCTCATCAGAAGAGTCCCGGTAGCGGCTGCCTGAGCCTCTGCGTCCCTCTTGGAAGCCCCTGCCCCCACTCCGCCTATGCTCCCCAGAGCCCCTCCTCTCCCGCTCCGGTTCATACTCCCAGGCCTTGTCCCCCCGGTCCTTCCTCTGGCGCTTCCTGGCAGCTGTGGACAGACAGACACACACCGTCAACTCAGTACAGCTTACTCAAGAGTCACTATGGACTATTCTATATAGAGGGTGTTGTTGACTGAGAAACCTGACTGAGACTGGACCATTATATTGTCTGTAGTTTACTCACATTCCCCGTTGGAATCGTCGTCTGAGTCGACCTCGGTGTACTTGGGCTTCTCTTTGACCGTGCTTCGCTTGCGCTTGTTCATCTTCACCCTCTCGCACAGCGGCATGGTGGACTCCATCTCCGCCAGCAGCTCAGGAGGCAGCTCGTTCAGCACCGACTGGTCTAGTCCACCTGCAGGGAGACGGTGTCATAGGGTCTTATTGTAGAAGAGGCTGGCAGGGGACAAGCCATAGCTCGTCGACGTGCAAGTAATTCCCTGAATAACCTCAAAGCTAAGTCTGAATTCCTTTAACCAGTAGATGTGTTGACTACAGGTTATTATTCACCTGTATCAGAGTTTAAAATATTCAAACATGGTGATCACATTGAGAGAATGAGTGCACTAGTGCAGCCATCTTACCTTTGTCCGACTTTCCTGAGAGGAGCCTGTTCTTGCCAGACTTGGAGCTGTGCCGGTCCTTGACCCTGATGATCCTCTGCACCTCATCAAAGGAGAGCTTCTGCAGCACCACCACAGGCTTGGGCCTCTTACTTATGTGATCCACTAGCCCCCGAACCCCCAGCCGCTCCAGCTTGACCCGGGGTTGGCCCCAGCCTTCTGCCACGTCCACAGCCCCGCCGTCCCGCTTCATCTTGGGGATCACAAAGTTCTTCAGACCCCCAGACCCTTGCCCCCCCAGCAGGTAAGCAGGGAACTCTTCTGACTTGCTCTCAGGCTGTTGCTGTTTGTGTCCGTCTGGGCGGTTTCTGGCCGCCTCTCCTCCGCTGGGGGACCTGAAGCCGGGTCTGTCGCTGCGCGGCCGCCCGCTGGGGTCAAAGCCACCTCCTCTGCCCTCCTGTTTGACCCTGGGGCTGTCCGGCCGGTAGCGCTCCTCTGGCGAGCGCCTGTCTTCATTCCTATGCCGCCTCTCCCGGTCTCTGTCTCGGTCCCGCTCGTGCTCTCTGCTCGAGGACTTAGGTGTGTCAGGGCGCCGGTCTTGCTTTCCGTCATGCCGGTGCCTGGACGGCTCACGGTGGTTGTCGTGTTTGTCCATGCTGTTCTTGATGACCTCGGGTCGATCGTCAGCTTTGAACCGGAGCACCCCGGCCGTGTCGGATCCCTCGGCTGCAGGGCCCTCGGCAGGCTCCTCTGGCCAGCGTTGGGCCTCCAGGGCCGGGATTGGGAGCAGCCATGCAAGGGTCAAGCTGGCCGTCGGCCCGGCCCGCCTGTTGCAGGTCGATGCTGACCATGAGGGCTGGTCTGCTAGCTCCGTTTCCTGCCGCTGTAGCCTCCTGGGGGGTCAGTTTGCCTGCATTGCCCCCTCCTCCGCTGCCTGGCGCACCGGTGGTGCCTGCGGTGCCCCCTGCTCCGGGCTCCAGTGGAAACGAGTCTTGCTTTCGCTTCTTCAGGGGCTTGTCTGGAAACGAACAATCACAGGTACACAACTCCATTAAACTACAAAATCCCCAGAAATACAATACTTGAAACAAACAGAACAGTCAGAAACAAATGGAGGAAATGTGCATAACGTTAGATAAATAGCACTGAAGCAAATCTATGAGACGAAGTCAACTAGAATAAATAATTTTATTTGAAAAGACAAGTAGTTGATATTGGAATGTATTTTGGAAATACACTGGGAATGCATTTGAATATACTCAAATAAACTGACAAATACACTCCCATGCATTTTAAGGTGCGATAGCTCCTCTTAGAGATCTCTGAAAGCTATTAGATGTAGGGTCTACTGTTACTCTATAAAAGTACTTTAGAGGGTGGGGGGTTTCTGGTAGTATACACACCTTTATCCTGCACCTCTTTGGAGCAGCGCTCCCTCTCACTGGCTGACTCGCGCTCTATCCTCTCAATCTCCGCCAGGGCGTCCAGCTCCGCCTCATCAAAAGGCGATGAGAGGGGGCCCTCCTGCCCCTTAGTGGCCCCCATGTTCTGCAGCACAGGGACCTGCTGGTAGGCAAGCTCGCCCTCTAGGTCAGAATTCTGGTCCATCATGACTGGCAGCAGCTCACCCGAGGGGTCCTCCTCCTCCAACTTCACCCGTGACAGCTTCAGCGTCAGCTTGGTGGTGTCCTTGGAGGGCGAGGTGACGATGTCGTACGCATCTTTGTCCTCTTTGCCCCCCAGCTTCTTCTTCTGCTGTTTCTTCCTCTGGTCGGGAGACTCCAGCAGCAGGTCTGGAGGGCCTTCCCGGGGAGACGCGTACGGCAGAGGAGACTGATGGATGAGTGGCGGCCTCGAGCCAGCTGAAAAGACAAAGTGAGCCCAGGTGAAAAAACACGCTATGGCAAACAAGACAAGAAAATAATGTCCTGCTCACATTTATGCAATTAAATTTGAAATGAAGGGTGCACGGCTGTAAGAAACAAGAAAAGGCATCAGGCATCGCAACTGAGAATCTGGAGGTGTGGTAAATAGCATGAAAGGGAGTTGGGCTGCCAAGGAAGGAGTTGGAGCCTGTCCCTGCGTACCTTTGGGGGTTCCTTCGCTTCCCGCGGGCGAGCACCCAGGCTGAGGCGACCTCAGAGGGAACGAGGCGTTTCTCATGGAGGGGTCACTCTCCTGCAGATGAAGACGACAGAGTGAGTGACAGGGCATGACTTCATGAGGAAATCTGTATGAAGTTCTTTTTTTTTTGTGGACTATAAAAGTGCCCTCTAACATTTAGTCAGAAATGTGGGGTAAAATTATGCCCCCATTAGTATTCATTCAGGATCTAGTGCAGGCGGTACCTCGTTCCCCAGTCTGTGGACTATACTCATGTAGTCCTCCTGTCTGTCTGGGTGGTGGTGGGCAGCGTTGGTCATCTGTCCCTTGCTCTCATGGATGTTCCTCATGCCCCCGGGGACCATGGGGCTGGCTACAGACACTACAGTACACAAGTGACAGTTCAATCACTCAACTGTGTTGTTATGACGGAATTACATTCAAATGAACTATTTTTGAGTCTTCTTTGTTCGTGTATCAATTATCGGTGCATTTATTGTGGCTTACAGTCACATTTACTAACAGCATACAATCAACTGTCTGAACAATGGTGTTTAATCCCCCCAAACACACACAGGAGGCTTACCTTGCTGTATCTGTTGGTGCTGATTGTAGCTGGGCGGTTGGGGGTACTGCATGAACCCGGCTGGGCTCTGGGGAGTGTACGGGCTGGGCACAGGGCTGTTCTGCTGGGGGATGAACCGACTCCCTGAGCTCGATTGTGGGGAGACAAATCCCCGGCTGCCATGGGAGACAGGAGACCAGGAGACAGGAGACCAGGAGATCAGGAGACAGGAGACAGGAGATCAGGTTCAGATGGTGTGCCAGTGTATTTTATGACCAGATATTCGCTAGTTATCCGAAGACAACCTAAAACATGCCCGAACATCAGATTCTATTGAATGTCATTTGCTAGGATATATCAGAGGTCTGTGGCATGTTGGGGGGGAAAACCATTGGAATAGGATCCAAGATAACAATCGCCAATGTAGAGACATCACTCACCTGGATGGATTGGGAGACATTGAAGCCTGCTGAAAGTTTGCTGACTGGGCTGGACTGCCACGCATGGAATTCTGTATTGGTTTGTATTGTTGCATCATCGGCTGCTGCAAGATATCTGCAAACAAAAAGGACAACAAATAAACCCAAATAAATAGTTAAGACACCAGTTAATTTGAGACAATACGATTGAATTCTAAGTATCCAAGTAACGTGAACTAAGAGCTCAATGGTCCAGTCAGTGTGTAGGGTTTTGGGTATAAAACGCAAATTGCCCCTGAAGAAAAGGTCTTGATGAGCTATACTAAAGGCAACATTTCTACACCCAGTTCCTCTTACAGATTGGTACATCCAGCGTCGACAACCAGCAGCTACTAAGGGTGAGTTTGAATAGTAAATGAAAGGTGCACTATGCAGAAATCATTCCGCCATTTCCTGGTTCCTAAAATTCAAATAGTTTGCCTAATTTCAGTTAATGTGACGAAACAATCAAGTATACTGTAGAGAATCACTGTATCATCTAAACTGCTGTGAAATATATTTTCCATAACCCAAAACATTGTATTTTCAGCTGTTTCAAGCTGGTGTACAAAACTGAAAGTAAAAGCCAGAAAACTGACATTTAAGAACGCGACGCATAGAAATACTTGCTTTCAATGATAATGAAGATCTATAACTCACATTTCTGTGAATTTGGTCAGGTCGCCCAAAAAAGTGACATATTGCAGCTTTAATCCATTAGTCTATCGACAGCGTCCATAACGATTTAGAAAGAGGAAATTGATTTGTTGAAGAAAATAAAGATACGAAAAAGACAGCTTTCCCCTAACAGTAAATGGCACAGCTGAAGCAAGCACCCAATTAGCCTTTCACATTAAGATTGAGGGCAAGGTTTGTCTTCTTTCCTTGCTCACTCAATCCATATCAGCTGGCTGTCTTCAGTTTGTTTCGAGTAAGCTTTGTTTCCAAAACAAAGTGCCCTTCAAAGTGTGTGCGTACTTTTCTCCCTGAAGATCCCAGGGTTCCTGGACAGTACTGTCTGCAGCAGCGCCGGCACGTCGCCCTCTGGCTCATCACTGCCCAGGTTGTCCTTCAGCTCTCTGTGGGGGCAAGGCAGAGGGTCATGTCAAACGTGTGCTCACAGAAAAACAGACAAAATATGTGCATCGTTCAACAATTAATGACTCAGAGTTGAATACTCACATGTGCTCTGTGGAAACCTGGTTAAGACCGTGGGCCAGCTGGGAGACCAGGTTCTCGTCCCGGCAGGCCAGCAGGCAGTTGACCTCCTCTGCGATCCTCCCATTGTACAGCAGGCTTTTGGTGGTGGTGGCTGGGAGAGGAGACGGCAGGGGCAGCTGATTCAACACTGCAACAGAGAAAGAAGACCGTTCACCACATGCCGTTTCAGCTGGAAATGACTAATATTGTGGTACATTCTATGTGGAAGTGAAATAGAGCAGGAGGACTTACAGTCTGTAAGGCTAGCAATCCCAGCGAGAGTGGTGATGGGAACATGAGGCATATCCCCATTCATGCTGAAGGTGGGGGCGGGGCAGTGTGGCGATACACAGGTTGCTCAGCGTCGCAGCCGCCAGACCAGTACTCACATCTCCTTTGTCCTGGTAGAGAAAAAGACAAGAGGGATTCACTGTAGGCTACTTCAAAACACAGGAGAGGCTGAAAAACATAATCCTAAACCCAAAACGAGAAATAGACCACACGTATGACTCCCAACCCGTATCAATGCAGTCCATTTGAAATACCTTTCTGTAGGGCACTGTTCTGTCTGGATTGAAACCAAGGACATTTCAGGAAGAAGTCCTCAAGTCTGTGGGGAAAAAATAGGAATAACATTTTATAGAAAAATGTATTGAAAAATGCAGCTTAAAAATTATAGTGATTTAAATGTAAAACTAGTTCCAAAACTCCTACTTGGCATTATGTTGCAGTTCATGTTAAAACTAATAGTGGTAAAATGTATCTATATCTTTAAGTGTGGTGTTGGTGGGAATTTTGGCTGTGTTTGCTAATAAACTGCAGTCATAGGCTACATTCTAATCACAACAACACATGGCCTTCTCATTATCAACAGAACAGCTCAATGAATGGCCCAATGTTAGCTCAGGTGTTGAGTCATAATGCCACCCACTCATCAAAGCATTCACAGTCCAGAGCTGAGAAACCCATCAGACCAAAACAAATGCAACACATCACTGATTTGTCTATTTACAAACAGACTATGCTAAATCTATTAAGCTTTTTCTTACTTCGAAAAGTAGATCTAGAACTGAAGTCACATCTACTGGAGTCCAGGATTGTGCTGCACTACCAAACTATCTGTCATGATTCATCCACAATAACAGTAGGGAATATCTCTGGGCTCCTCCTTGACTTAATTTAATATATTATTTATTTGGTCCAACACTGTTTCTTGAGGGATTTTGGATTTAGAAAGCTTGTTTTCAAACTCGAAACATTTATTCTAAGAAAATAATGTTTGGTAAAGCCTAAGAAGATACTGACATGATTTGACTGAAACAAATATTTTTGATAGCGTAATATTGAAATCACACTAAAAATAAACACTATTTGCTCCTAGCTTCCCTACACACACAGTGTGACAGTCATCAGTAACCTGCCATATTACTGACAGCTGGGAGACTGACAGACCAGAGCACAAAGGAACAGATGCACAGTGGTGATGGGGGGGGTGGGGGGAAGAGGTGTCATCATCAATATTACGTGAACACGCAATAGTGCTTGAAAAACTTAAGGGGATTTTTAGTTATGCATGAAAACTATAACAAAATCAATGGACATATTTTCGCTCAATATGTCATGTTTATGAATGATAGATAACTAGCTAACAGTACCGCGTTGGCTGATGTTCACCAAACATTGGCTATCAAACTAACTTACTAGTAGCTAGCTAATTGCACACATTTCAAAGGTGAACTTTATAAAGGAGTAACGTTAGCTAACGTTACGCATTGAAAACATGTCTGAGTGGCTAAATAAAATCATCCTCAGTATTTAACATATTTTACGTTAGCTAACTAGCTAAGTTAACGTTATCTGTTCTAACGCTAACCAACCCCCAAAATATTATCCAACTCAATGTTGTTGATCTATCGTTAGTCAACTATCTAGCTAGCTAATCAATTAAATAATCGGGTTAGATTACGTTAGCCTAGCTAACTAGTTAGCTATTTATCCTTACTTGAGGCAGGTCGGATTAACGTTTGCTAGCTATTTAGCAAACGATAGTCGGTGCTATTTTGGTTAGCAGTTAGTTATTCGCTACGTTTATCAACTACGCTAACTTTAGCTAACGTATTTAGCTAGTTAGCTAAACATAACATCAGTAAAGTCCTTACTAGCTAACTAGCTAGTTTGTTAACCATTTGGCCGTTGCGCTGGCCTAGTATCTCGACATAGTTCACTATCTTACCAGACAAGCGATTTGATCATTCGGGTATAACGATAGCTAGCTAGTTAACTACCTAGTACTCGGGCTCGAGGCCTACCTACCCAGCGAGCAAAACGTACAGTAGCATGCTAGGAAGCTGTAATGATAAACATGACAAGAGACGCTAGCTAACGTTAACTGGCTACGTCAGTTAGCTAGCTAGCTAGCGAACTCCGTGAACAAACAACGCGACTTTTGTTTGAGAATTGGTTTTTTAAACATCAAACATTGTTCATAGTTTACAACATCTACATTTACCTTGTGATTTTAGCTACGCTAGGTTGTCCTGGTCTGTGTCTCTCTAGCTCCCCCTTTCTTCTCTCTCGCTGCTCCTCCAACAGAACTCCGTTCTTGACTTGCCAGCTAACGTTAGCTGTCCAGCTAAACTAGCAGTCAACAATAATCTGGGTTGGGCAGATTCTTTCTTCCGTCATACGCGGGTAAATGTTTGAACGGAAGTATATTGGGAAACATTCGTTCGGTGGAGTTTCTGTCGGTCTAAACCGACATGGATAAAACTGTGGCCAATTTCGCCTGTATGTGGAAAAAAATATGACGATTGTTGCGGTGAGACTCCTCTCGCAGAACAAAATGCCGACCGGAAGTGCCGCCGTCGAAGTGACCTCCATCGGCGCCAAAACGAAATGCCAAGTTTGAAGGAATCACCACTGTGTGGCACTACACAAACAAACCTGCAATCTATTTTATTCAACTGCATCTCTGGCCATAAATAATGACTATGGCACTGTTTGACCTCATGTCCCTCGCAGTCATCTACTAAAAGTCCTGGAATGTGTCCTTTCAGATCAAAGGTCGCAAGGTAAAGGAGACAAGAAAAGCAAACGTTATGGCCAGGGATGTAAATAGTGGGGGAAACTATCTGGGAATCCAATGTAAAATCCTTGAATTCAGCGCATTTTTTTATGTAAAAATTATTTCACTAAATGTCACTCTTTGAATGATTTCCCAGGGGTTTTCATTCCCAGATCCCTGTTTCCATTTCCACCCCTGGTTATGGGTGATGGTGGAATGAGGTGCGTTGTGTTCTTGTTGGGAATCCGTTGTTTTGTTTAGTTGAATCCGGTTTGTTAACTTTATGCTGCAACAAAAGCCTGCATCCCTATTCCTCGGGGCAGGCTTGAAGAACACTAGCTAGGCCTACATGAAGACTGTTTGCCTAAAAAAATAAAAAATAATAATAGGCCTATGAAAACAATGTCATAGCATGAGGCCTGACAGTGCAGTGTGCACAAACATTATTCCATCTGTGGTAAAGTGGAAGTTCTGCAAAGCAGAGGCGCAAACTCATAACCCTCAGCATAGGCCCACTCAAGAAGCATCATCAATAGGTCTACCACTGACCAAGAAAAACCAAAGCATTTCTGGATCCGGGGCAACAGTAGGCCTACTTCTAGGTCTCAGGATGCGCTTTAGGCTTCCACTACTAGGTTTACACATCCATCATTGTCCGACCCTCCATATGCCCTTTCTGTTTTCAAAAGATTCCAATTTAAAGGCATATGCCCTGGAAATGTAAGTCTAACTGTGTTACAAAGTGGTGGGTAACATATTGACTTTATATAGTGTACCAAGAGTTGCCCCTTTGTTTACGGCCATACCAGGCTGAATATGGCCAGAAATTGGAGCCTGGTTAATAGGGCCTGCTGTGATTGGAGACCGCCTGGAAATACCAGGTGCTGTAAGCTTTTTGGCCAGTAGAGTGCACTCTTGTATTAACTACCGGAACTTCAGCAGGGAGCAGCTTTTATTTATTAACAGCAATAATCTAATGTATTTTTATTTTACTAAATGCAGCCAGTATGTGCTTAATTCCCCATCCTGATATGATCAAAATAAACTATGTAATGTGGCCGCTGTCCACTAAAGGTGGGGCTGATTTTTGTGCTGTCACTGATTGTGTTGGTCAACTTGGTTACGTTAGTCTGTCTCCTTTATAATTTTTGTCAGGATTGTATGTCATTTACTGTTTAAAAACTATGAATCTGTCAATCTCTATGTAAAGGTTTTTGTAATTCTGTGTATTTTACAGTCTCTCAATTTAATTTATTGAGCAATCAAATATTGAATTAGAATGTCATTAGAGGAAAGACTTGCGCAGGGAGAGAGTAGCAGCATCTTGGAGCCTTCCTTCCCTGTGTTGATGTGTAGTGAGCTGCTGGCACACATAGCGGCAGTGTTGGTTTCACTCAGCTCCCACGGGGAGGAAGAAGTAGGAGCGGGGAGGAAAGAGGAGGCGAGAGATGGAGGAGGAGCATAGACATAGAGGACTCATCTTTGTATCCGTGCCATTATAGCGTCCATGACAGCATGGGCAGCGCCATTGAGGCTATCTCCATTTTGAAGTAGTCAATTTCCTTCTTCTTCTTCACGATTGGCTGATCCCTCCTCTTCAGCCAATGAAGTTGGAAGTCCCACCCAGTTGACTACATTAAAATAGTGGAAGCCCTTAATGGCCCTGCCCATGCTAACACAGCCTTTTGGCCACTAGAGGCCTCTATCATTCTTTATGAGGAGCTACTTCTGAGCTACTTGTACCCTTACCAGCTGGGCTACATTGGTTTCAGGAGGGAGGAGCATCTTGGAGCCTTCCTTCCCTTTGTTGATGTGTTGTAAATACTTGCGCCCTTAGCGGCTGGCGGCTGCATTGGCTTCACTCAAGTCATGCAGGGAGGAAGGAGGAGCCTTGCAGTGACAGGAAAGCATCCATCCGGAAGGTGTGATTACTGCAAGGAAATAAAGACAGTGGAGCAAGGACTGATACAGTGTGGGCTGTATGAGAGGGAAAGAGAGAGACTGATACAGTGTGGGCAGTATGAGAGGGAAAGAGAGAGACTGAGATCCAGTATGAGGGAGAAGGGGATACAGGAATTTAGTTTAAAGGGCTTACTGAGGAGGAAGGAGAAAGGAGTTAGTTGTACCACTTGGAGAGGGAACCTCTCATTCAAAGAGAGGACGTTGGATAAATCACAACACTTAATCTGACAAGAGTGAGGATGAATTGCCTGCGGTGGCAGGTGTGGTGAAGATGGCCTAGGTCAAGCCTCTTCCCAATGATGATAAAGAGGATTCTGGCCCAGTGGGAGTGACATTTTTGGAGAAAATGTATCATTGCCTTCTGGCGGATCCATATGTGATGTCAGGTTGGGTGGAGAAGAGGTTGGGGACTGTTGAGTCGGTGAAAGTAACTCCAAGTGAACTCGTGATGATTTCTTACATTTCTTCCGTCCAGAGGGAGCGGGCGCTCCAAACCACATGCCTAGGGACAAGAAGTGTGACTTGCTTTGCTCTCCGTAGCAGGGTGCCATTGAAAGGAATGATAACTGGAGTAGTGTTAAGTGTTGAGGAGGATCAACTGAAATGGAAGATTCCCGGTGTATGTGATGCCCTCCGTTTGGTCCGACACAGACCCGATGGAGAGCGTGGTGAAAAAGAGAAGACACTGTCTGTTCTGCTGAGTTTTGATGCAGAGTCTTTAAAGTCAAGTGATCCCGTGAGAGATGTTGTCCCGAACCCATTACAGTGTTTTAGGTGCCAAGCTTATGGTCATGTAGTAGCAGTGTGTAGGAGGGAGATTCCTAGATGTGAGAAGTGTGCAGGAGGGCATGAGGCAAAGGAATGTGTAGTATCGGTGGGAAAAGTTGTGTGTGTTAATTGTATCGGTACCCATGGTGCTGGAGATCAGAAGTGTCCGGTGAGAGAAAGACAGGTTGAGGTTGCCAGGATCAGAGTAATACAGAAGGTGTTGTATGTTGAGGCAGTGCAGAGAGTAATAGAGGAAGATGGGTCCAGGGCGAGGGATCCTGAGAGGATCCCTGTGAGTAGGCCGAGGCCAATAGAGAGTGACTGGAATAATATGTGCTTCAGTAAATCTGGCTTCTTAGCATTCATAGCCTTGGTTATCAACTGTACCACAGAAATAGAACGTATGTCATGGAAAATAGATGTTGTGCTGGCAGCTGCAGAGAAATACTTGGGATTACGAGATTTTACTGCAGAAGAGTTACAGAGGGTGTTGAATGGTAGTGTTCTGTTCTCCCAGGCAGTTGGCCTGATGTAGGATTAGATAGGGTTAAATAGTGGAATGGGGTGGTGTTTTTTTATTAGGGCTAATAGTTTTTTTGTATCACCAAGTATAATTAATTGTACAGTAGGTGGCGGCATGCACCTCTTACGTTTGTTTGCGGACCGCCATAATACCATAGAAGAAGAAGAAGAAGAAGAAGAAGAAGAAGAAGAAGAAGAAGAAGAAGAAGAAGAAGAAGAAGAAGAAGAAGCAGAAGAAGAAGCAGAAGAAGAAGGACATGCAGGGAAAAAAGAGCAGCATCTTGGAGCCTTCCTTCCCTGGGGTTTTCTCATTTGGGCAAAAGTCCGTGCTCTCTCCTCCGTGACCCTGAAACCAATAGGTGGTCGAGGAGTGTGTTAATTAATTTAGTAGCCTCCTTTTGGCGAGGAAACACAAGCGTATCCTAACCGACTCCTTTACAGAAGATTTTTGAAATCTGCCACACCCCTTTTGAATCAGCTACTGTTTCTCGAAGTAGAAAAGCATGCAAACATTTAAAAACGATATGCTACTTATCCTTTTATCTATCAAATGTCTTGCACAACTAGCTCAATTAGTTTTATCACTTTATACATTCATTTAGGGATTCCACTCTGTAAACTTCATTTGCCTGATGACGTGTGATTGGAGGAGAGTCATTTCATACAAGCGCATTTTCGTCCACTTTCCCTCCACTAACCAGGTTTCCATCCAACGTTTTTATGCGAGTAAAGTACGTTGGATAAAGAACTTCACAACAGGCCTGATGGACATTTCCAAATGTCGACAAAACAAAATATGCTAGACAAGGCGGGATCTTTTTGTGTTGGTAAAACTAATTATGCGAGAAATGTTAGTGGAACCGCTTTTACGAGCAAATATTGATATAACAACCATAATATCAAAGTAGGCTAAACTTGGAGTCACGGGATGACATGTTGTGTGGTCCTCCCACTACGACTCAGGAATGCATGCAGTTTATTAGGCTACAGATGAAATAAGTTATGATGAACTTCACAGGGTGGTGAAAGGGCAAGGTGATAAGCTTGATGCTCCTTTCCAATAAATATCGAGGGTCTTATTCTGGTGACATGATGATCAATGCTTGGCTGCCGTTCGACAAATATAAATAATCGTACTGTTTTGTCCATAATAATCTCATCATGTAGGCCAGGGGTGTCCAAGTCATTCCATAGAGGGCCTAATGTCTGCTGGATTGTCTTCTTCTTCTTCAACTTTTATTTGGCAAATCGCAACCAACTGGTAGGTGCATACACCGCCAACTACTGTACTGGAGTGTGAGGCCGGTCACGACCTATCTACATCCCTATATTCTCTTAACTAACCCTGCATTTCTAATAAAATAATTCCCTACAAACCTCACTATCCCATCATCCCCACCCAAAAATCCACCCACTCCCCATTCCCGTACAACCTCTCTGACCCTGTCAAACAACCTCTCCCTTTCTACAACATACAGTTCACAAAATAATAATAGGTGTTCAACCGTTTCCTCTACCATACAGCCATGACACATTCCAGTACCATGTTTCCCTATCAA